TCTGGGGACCGCACCAAGAAGGCTCTTAGTTCTGTTTGTGAACATATTTAATTCCGATATTCAATAGTGTAATTTAAGTCGATGATTATACATGAGAGTAGCAGAGATGTATATTTCGACAGTAGTCATTCGATAAAGACTATTCGTCCGATCCAGCCAGAGTCAGATATTGAGCCACTAAAGCTCGTAAGAAAATGTAAAGCTAGAAACTCGGTGAAGAAATAGCCAGATGTCGTCGCACCTCAAGTGCATCATCACAAACATTGAATTCACAAATGACTACTCCTCATCCCTGCCTGCCCCAGTACAAAGATATTGTACAACCATATCCCTCAAATATATTGGCAAAACCAAGGACGAACGTCAACTGTCAGCAGGTGTTGGAATTGTAAGCAACTATGCGTGTTAGCTTCGTAGGGCAGTCTGTAGGCAAGTCTAAGGTCAGTGTTTCATGGACGACCATTGGGGTTCCTTACAACACTCTATCGTATGTGCTACAAACTAGCCAGTTTCCAAAACTGTCTTCAGAATTTACAAGCGGTCTAAAACCGTAAGGAGTGGTACCCTTTGAGGGCTAAGCCTCATGAGGTACTACAGGGTAGAATACCATCAAATTAGTGTCAACAGCACATGCAGTCGAATCAAATAATCGACAAACCAATGTATAAACCACTAGAACAAGACAGTCTTCAGTATCATATCAGGCTAATTGATGAATTTTTTTGATATCGGAAAAACTCATTCGGTCATGCAACCTATCTTCGACAAGCCAAAATGTACTTTCCCGGTTGTTGCGTCTTAATCGTCTGGCCAGAATTGGAAGTGATGACTCAGAATTCCTGACAAAACAGTATTTCCAAACATTTCAACCGTCATATACAACCTATGTCGATGTGAGATTCGCTTTTAACCTGAGACTAATCTCAGAAACAAACCAAAGGTCATAATTGTCATATCACAAACTGAAGAATCTAAAAATTTCTTCTTGTGGTTCAGATATGATCCCCTCTGCTATACTGAGGGAAGTGGCCTCACTCTTAAAACCACCTCTTAGTGTGATGTACTCAAATTTCCTAAACCAAGACATGGCCTTAGAAAACAGGAAGCTGACGCATATCCCACGAGTTTCCAAAGGGGACCGATAAAATCAACCTTCAAGCTACCGACCGGAAGCACTTCTCTCACTATTCTGAGAAGTTATGAAATCCTTGGTATGAGACGGTCTATGCAACCACCTTTAATCTACAAAGTCCCTTTCACCCCAAAACACAGTTTCGTAATGGGGTTGTGTGGTGTTTGTATGAACTAATGATTCCTTTGTATTTGATGTCTGCCTGATTTGAAATTCCGAATGCAAAATGTTCGTTTGTGCTCATGTAGTTCTGCTTGTATAAATTGTGTGATTCCAAGGATTTGTGGTTCGTATGATAATTCAAATAATCCTAATCATCACAGGCTGCTCTTGACTAACCAATATTCCGACTGGGGTAATCAAATGGACAACTATTCGTGGTTACAAGAGAAAGGAAGATGTGATATACCTAGAATTCTCGGAAACTTTCAGTAGGGCTCATCATATATATTTCATTAATGACGTTAGTCTGTTAAGTGTCAAAGCGTCATTAACAGATTGGTTTACTACATACCACATCCAGGATGTCCAATTTGGTCCCACCAGGATCCAGTTGTAGGACTTCTCTTCATTTATATGAATGATCTTCTCCAGCATGTGTCAACTAAATTTTTGCTTTTAAATAACGATACTGAACGTTGGTGAGAAGTTTGCAACTAAGATGATAAGGTGGGACTTCATGAGGATCTGGCTGGACTTCAAAGTTAGGTAGATAACAATGGACCTACTTTCACTCCACGCTTTGAAGTCCAAAATAGATCATGTGAAACATGTTTCAGACCACGCATAGAACTTGAGTAACTTCTAGAGGTGTTCTGAGTTGAAAAAGATCAAGTAATGTTGTTACCCTATGATCATTCGGGCATAAACCGAGTGGTGACCCCATAGTTTCACAAATCATTGTAAACACTATTTTGCTCCCCCAGAAAGCTGATATAGGACTTATTCTCACACAAATCTTGGGAGTGACATAGAGAGTTTAGAGGCTTAACAGCGAAATTAATTATAGACACACGCAATGTTTATGAGTAGTCTAATCCTGGGATTCTCTGCCGCCTGGGGTGGTTTAATTGACTTCGTAGGACTTCGAGAGAAAACTTGAAATGTCGTAAGTGATCCAGCGCAACGCGCCCTATTTAAACGGGACAGTGGTATATTTTATAATAATGGTCGTTTAATTGATCATAAAGACTACTGTTTTGCCTCAACTGAATTAATTTCAGTTTAAGTAGTTTTCAAGAGTATCACTTTTTAAATGGTAGTTGGAGGTAGTCAACAGGAAATCCTGGACCCGCGTTTCGTGCTACTTGGCACTCGTCAGCAAGGTGTACCTGTAATCTTGAGGGAAATGGTGCTGCCTGGCGGATTCGATCTCGTGTCACCCAGCTTCACAGTCAGAGACGTTACCACTGACCTATCCGAGCCGTGACTAACCTCCTGTAGGACTGAGATGTAATTACAATTGATTGATCACTGGGTGGTGATCAATCAATTGTGAGTATCACTTTTTTCTAGAGACGTTTACCATCTGTACTTCTGAGTACAGTTAAGAAAACGGCACTAGTATTTTTCTCCTCGTTGAGTATATCATTTAGTATTACTTGTATCCAAAGGTGTCAAGGTTTTTCTGTATCGACTGTAGTTGAATTCTTTATTGTTCTTAGATGTGGTAATATACAAACCTCTGTTTTTGTGTTCACTATCTATCAGTTATGGAGCCTTTAATGTAACTTATTTTAGGAATCAGTTGTCGCTGTAGTTCTTCCTGTGAGAACACAAAACAACTTTATGACACAAGTAAAACATCATTTTGGCAGACTCACATGCTATTTCTCGGTCGATGATGGAATGCAATGTGTCAACTACAACAGCATGTTCACAACATGTGCATCAAACTCACACCGGCTGCAAATAAAGGGTACTGTAAGCCACTATCTCTTTGGCTATGCAAAGCATGCTGTTCTACAAAGTCTCTGATGATTCTTGAGGCGAGTGAGGTTCTGAACAGAGCTGTAAAATTGCCCTCAGATAAACAGGCAGAAGTAGATGAGTATTTATAAACAGTTGTCTACGTAAAATACTCAACACCAGTTGGCCGGATACCATCAGTAACAGCCTACTGTGGGAATGGACAAACCAGCTTCCAGCTAAAGCGGAAATTGGGAAACGATGTTGGAATTGGATAGAACATACATGACAGAAGTCACTAAACTGCATCACGAAGCAAGCATTAACTTGGAATTCGGAAGGAAAGCAGAAAAGAGAGATGCCTAAGGACACATTACGTCAAGAGACGGAAACACATAAAAAAAGAATGCTTAGCGACTGAAGAGAACTGGAGGGGATTTCCCAGGACAGGGTTGGGTGGAGAGTGATTTTGAGTGGTCTACGCCACCCCCGCGTAGAGTAACGGGCGTAAGGAAGTCAGTAAGTAAATGGGCGAAATTCAGCTTTCGAGGAAATAAAGAGCGTTATCATAAGCTCAGCTCTGGATTTGAAAGAGACTATAAAGTTGGGCCCTATTAGGGAAGCGGATAACGTCGATGTAGGCATTGTTACAAGGTGGAAGAAAAAGGACGCTGAGAAGACAGAAATTATAGGCAGCACTAAGGTATGTGAATGTGCGGTTTCAGTTTCGGATTCACATGTCAACTATGGGGGGCATAGTCTGCACGGTGTAGATGGTGTGATCAAGAGACATAATAAGAAAATGATTGACTTACAGTTACACCCAGAATAGAAGAAATAAGGGAGTAGAGTGAGGCCTCTGCATTTGACGACATATCGGATTGCAGGACAGGGAAGATTTCGTAGATTAAAATTCCACAGCGTGTTAAAACGACTCACGCTGGCAGGTCAGTCATTTTTCATGAGTTAAATGAATCTTTTAAAGACGGGCCAACAACTAGACTTGAACACAACTTCAGCCACATTAAGTGCTGAATAAGCAAACTACTTGCAGAGAGAGTTTCAAGAGTTTACATCTGTAAGTCTTATGCTATAGGACAAAAAGTGGATTCTGAAAGTACTCAGAAAAACCACCTCTTTAGGTCACCTTTGCGTCGGTAGAAGAAAAAACATGATACTGGAAAACTCACGCAAACTGACTAGATCCGGAATATATTTTTGTAAGGATCATAGATCGATTGATCATACGAAGAGGTGAGTAGTAAGGGAAAGTTCTCTACAGTTTTAAAGGTGTGCTATACAATTCTCGCAGCCTGCTGAATAAGGTGGTGGAGCCCAAGACAGCGGTGAATATAGAAAATTCGAATGCCATTTGCATAACAAACCTATTTACAGTAAGGAAACAACAGATAAAGGCTCAAGACAATGGAAAACAAGTGTATGTACTCTATGCAGATTTTAGCAAAGCATTTGATAAGGTATCAACAAATAGATTGAATCTGGAAAATCTTGGCACTGCCAAGTACCTTAGTGAGAACTATCACTGAAAATCGCGTTCAGGCTGCCAGCTCTAAGCCAAGAATGGACAAAATACCTGTGGCATACAGGTTTTCACACCAAGTCATCAGTTCTTGGAACTATTACACAAAGCAGTGGTGTCTGCGCCTTCAGTTGACTCTCTCAGGAGAAAAATATACACTCACAGAAGCATACTTGTACAGAAATGACACAGACTGTATGGTTTCTGTCTTTACTACATAAATCTGAATCTAATCTGAATGCAATTCAATGTTTTATTATAATCTACTATTATTTATGCATAGGTTTCTACATAAAATTATAGGTGATCCACCGATAATACATACGGTGACTCGTTGGGCGACGGTTCTCTCTCTCCCATCCACTACTTGGACCATAGTGTTTAACCCATTAGTCGTTTTTATATTAAGTGACCCTATGACCTTGTGAAGTCAGCGCACAATTCGTCCCACATAACTTGAAGGCGCTGGTGTTAGTGGGTCGTAAGTTTAGTCATTTGTTGCACATTAATCGGTCCACAGAATCAGATATATTATCCAGTTGTTGTTATGTACCTTTTCCTAAAAGTTTTTGACACTTATTTCGGCAATTATGTGTCTGGCGGTCGAAACTATTGAAACATATGTGTCATATGACACAAGTTACTAGGTTGATTCTACTATATTCCCATCAGAAATGAATGTTTTACTGTGTTTCAGTCCTATTGAAGAGCACGTGTTCTATCAAGTGGCTTTTTTTGACTAGATTCCCTGGATAAGGTGTCTCGTACGAGACATTCATTACTGATCCTGATTCTTAAGTCTTGATATATTACTAGCTGTAAGCTCTCATTTATTCTAGCCTTTCCTTGCACCTAAAGTGTTCGTCTCATCTTCTAGACGAACAGAGAAGTATTTTCGCTATCTACTGTCCACAATCGAGCGCATTGATCATTCTGACTATTATGATTTTACTTGTTCTTCGGGTAAAATTTCTAGAAAGACTCAATATCGGTATTATTCAATTTTGTTGTGTCGCGAATTGCGGTATATCTCTGTTGTTACTATTTTTCAGTCATACCATGTTTTTGGTTGTTGATGGCAATGGTCATACTTATAGCATATGTCGGACATTCCGTTGCTTAAAATGTCTTGTATTTCAGTGGTTAGGAAGCAAGCAATGATATACACACAGATTCTCACCGGCGAGTGGGTCGTGTCTTCCTGAAGTTGTAATAAACTTTCTCGAGTATTATATGTTGGGTATAAGAGGTTCTCTGACAGATGAAAGTTTCGACACTTGTCCTTGAGGCAGAACTGTTATTTAATAGTGCTTCTGCACTCATTCAAAAAACATACACCAAATAAACCTAAACTCACAGTTCACCGTCAGACGTAGAATTAAGTTTTAAATAGTTAAGTGTGCCGGGACCTAAAAAAGAAATCAGTCCACGTATTCAACGGTTGCTTGACTGAACCATTTCAAGAGGTTCAGACTTCATATTTGAAGTTCATGACTGAAACCGTAGATGACATTTGTCAAAATCAATCTTAGTCATGAGAATGTGAAGGATGACACAGGTATTCAGTGTTTGACAACGCTTCTACCAGTAACACCTTCTAATATATTTCGTAACCACCCAGAGAAATCAAAAGACAGAGTCGAGGAGATCGGAAGAGTGTATTTGGCGATTACCAATATATCGGAATTATCTGATCTAATCTGGCTAGCGATTGCGGTAGATGCGGAGTACAGCGTTACCACACGTGATCTGGTGCGAATGCATGACCGAGCGCCTTCAGCTAGATGAGTCCACTAAAACATATGGTCAGCATCCAATGTCGAAAACTTACAGAGCTATTTATTTTGGGGATTTATTTACCGCTACAAATGTATGCATGCTCTTTTTTCCTGTAAGTTTGAAATTTCGAATCAAAAGTTTGAGGATTATTTCGAAATTTTTGTAGAGAATTTCAGTGACACGAAACATCTAGTTTATTTATAATAAGGCATCATGCTAACTCGGCACGTAGACAAATTTCGTAAATTCATCAGTTCTTGATAGTTGAAACAACAATACAAAATAAATAATCACCACAGCTAAACAAACGTATCAGGAGTTAGTGTATGTTAAAGATGGTTACTTGGACTTGTCCTTGGTAAAAAGGTTATGTTGGTTATTTGAACAATTAGGACAAACGTACACCTGATAGATGTGCATCAGTAGCTTTTATTTTTTAATTACATCTCTAACGACTCATCGCTCGCTGTTAAGATATCTCTTATTACGATCGAGCTATTCTTATTGCTTAGTACTCCTTCGACACTTCACATTACTCGATTAATTTCCGAGTCAGGACATGGTTGAACAGGAACGCAATTACATTCCCAAAACCATGGTTTGGTAGGAGTGAGAATAACAAATCGTACAGTTCAAAAGCAACAAATAAACTTTGAAAATAATCAGTATAAAATGATGGTAAAACTCATTATTTGGTGGAAGGCGAAAAATGAATAGATCTGTGCAGCTACAGACAAATGAAAACTATGTTTCTTGGTTACTTCAATCATGTTTTGCTATTACTTCTTGAACTTCATAAAAATTATGACGTACTCCACAGCCACCATATAATAATGCATTGATTGGCTTTATGTTCTAATCTTTTCGTATGCATCGATAAAGTTACCTTCCATCACTTTTAAGCAGAACTTAAAAATACCCTATTTGTAGTATTTAAAATTCATTAAATATTTACTTGAATAGGTAGATTCTTTATCTAGCTTCCATTGCTTTTTTCACTGTTTCTGTTGCATTTCGCTTTATATCAGGTGGTTTCAGAGGGCACTGCTTCGTTGATCCACTGACACGATTATCCTTTAGAACAGCATGCGCAGAAGGGTTTTGCATAATTTATTCTGGAGAAAAAATAAACTGTTGCCTTTGGGATTAGTGTGTTTTGGACTCCTATTGATTATGTGGATAAAAATAGATAAACTTGACCATGGTAAGTTGCATGCAGATTCAGCCTATTTACCGGATCAAATATATGTAGAAAATAACCAAATCTTAGCACGTCAACCAAGTCATAAGGAACTAAAATATCAAGATGAATCCCAAAAGAACAATTCACTTATTGGGAATAATCTAAAAATACCTCATTTTCCGAACGCTCGTCCATATCCTCCAATTGACAAAGATTTAAGTAAGTAGTCCAAGAGGTCTATTCTTTTTCATCATTTATTAGAAGGGATTTATGAAAATTCAATGTGAATTCATTTTATATAATAATTTTGTATTCATTCACTATGCTCTTACTAATTTTGAGAATAAAACCATTTGTGTACAAAATCAAGACGGAAATTTACGAAATGGACTGACTTTATTATGTAAATTTTCCTATATGTACATTATAATTTTAAAATTTTCGAATCTGTCGGAAGTATTTAGTCAATTTAAGAAACTGTGCTCATAAAATATTTCAGAAGTGGTATACAGAAGCAGAAATACACTACATTAGTTTTCCTATAAAAATTAAATTAATTAGCAGAACAATATTGGTGTGTATTTCACATGCATCAGTCAGTAATTCTGACAAACAAACTATGGAATGTAATCTGGAATTCATAGTGACAATTAATGGAAATGAAGCTTAAAACTTTGATAGATTTATCAAAAATCGATTCCTCGTGAAATTACTTAACAGCTCCAAGTGGATTGTTTGCTTAATAGTAAGGACATGGTCCAATAGTCTAATGCACACAAGAAGTGTTTTGTTTTTTTACGGTCGCCACAATATCTCTACGTGAACTTAGTTACGAGTTACATATGAAAACAATTACGTATCTATTTATAATATATATATGTATGCATGTGCATATCCCAAGAATGATTACAGAGTGCACACTAATTTACAAGGATGTTCAGATTGATACAAAAGGTGAAGCTTTCAGAAAAAAAAGAGTGTTTCGCAGATTATTTTGAACGAATTATTGATACATAGTCGTTGATAATTTGAAGTATAAGATGAATTCATGATCAGAGATAACATCAGTTTTACTAGCCATAAGACATAGAATATCGCTATATTATCTAAACTACGCAATGTGGAATCGTATATAATTTTCTAATGTTTGATAATTGTTACCGTTTTCTCCTCATTCATTGAAATTGCAATACTTTTGAGGGAGTGACTATTGAAGGTGATAGCATAAGCATTAAGTCGTGAAAGTCTGTTAATTTTTCAAAACTAATGAGACGAATCAGCAGTTAAATTATATTCACTTTTGATGTGGATCAAATCTTTCATTTTATTAATTAATCTCCACTGAAATTAAGGGTGTTTTGATATTGCTAACATTCACAGATTGTTCGTGGAACGATTTATATATCATGACAGAACTAATTAATAATAATGCAATCATTCAGATATTTGCACGTAATAAAGCGGTGTCACATCAACATGTTTGACGAAGACCTGAATTCACCTGATCATTTTTTTACTTCGAATAACATATGAGCCGTTAAAGATGTGAAAAAAACGATATACACTTGAGTTATTCAAATAAATCGAAACTGATTTATCTTAATAGAATTTTAAGCAAATCTTCATGTTGAGTAATGGTTTATCCCAAAACCATTTACTGTTATGTCTAACATGAATGAAGGCTTGTTAGATAGAAGCACCCTTATTGTAGAATGAAACAGTTGGTTAAATCATCTAGAATTATTATTGCCTTTGAACTTGGCTTTCATTTCCGATAAAATTTTTATTTGAATTTCAAATATGAATCTTCGTTAGTCTGATATTATTCGTTGATTGCTTTAACAGGTCATGAGAATGCGAAACGCCGATCTGTCGATGATGAACACGGTGAAAATCATTTGCCTGATATTGTGCCGCCTGTTAATGAGGACAATAATGTTCTTGTGCAACCTGACTATAAGGAAAAGTCTAGAATTATGGGCGGTAATGAACCTGTTGAAAGCAGCCATTCAGATAAACTATCAGTCATAGCCAAATTAGGCTTATCTCCTAGTTCTCCTCCTCCAAAAAGCGACAAATACTCAACAGGTCCAGGTCAGTGTATCTTCTAACTTAGTTATTGCTACTAATTTTAACTCACACACATGGCTTTCTAAGCAAACGTTTTTTAATTTATGAATTTCGTTCTACGAGGTTTGTTAACTATGAATTTCGAATTATTTTAATCTGAGGTAATTCAAAACGCACCGGAGACAGTGATCTTGGATACGCACACGAAGACTATTTTTTTTGTTAGAACTACTATAGGGTTTAACTTATTTTTATTGATCTACCCATCAGTAAAATCACGAACAATTATTGCTAAATCATGAATAATAATCGATGTAGAATAGTATGGATAAATTTTTTCTTTTATAGTTTTTTTACTAACATTGAACGGTAAAGACTACTGACGTATATGTTTGTGTAAGACCATTCGATGGATTGGTAGATAAGTGAAAAAAGTTGGCCAATTCAAATTTATACCACATTCTAAGCTGCTCATGAATAACAGACTCATATAAAGACTTTAGATGTTTTAAGCACTTCAAACTAACCATTGTTATCTGCTGAATTAATTGCTTTTTTGAATAAAACTGTTACTCCATCGGAATCGATCACCTTTATTATTTCTGCATATCATTCAATTGTAGTGATTGTTATTCATTTAAGAAGGACATTAATTTGATGTTTCCACTTTGATTAGTATTTGTTGTGGATGAAGTACGTGTATCAATTCAGTTACATAAATATTTTTGTATTTTATTGTAATATGGACTTTTGTCCGCTACTTCATATCCCAATTACTATTAACAATTTCGCCTGATTTTCTCAATCTCAGCATTTGTGTAAACCAGTAAACAAGTGAATATTTTCATATGAATGAACTTTTGAAACTGTAATTATCTTCAATGAAAAAGTTTATGTTCAGTTATATACTCTAATTCACCGTTAACTCTACCGTTTTCACTATGGGGGTTTGTGGAGACTTGAATTTTTGTAGGTTACATCATAGACTGATTTTAGTGAGCCAACTATTAAAAACCCGAAAGCAGTTCATAGATATTTTGTTCCAGTTTGAAACTCGTAAGCAGTATGCATCTACTACATTACCGGGGATCGAATAAAGAACTCTAGGTTTCGCAGTGGGCCCTTAACACGTAGACCATTAAGTCAGCATCATTAGTTTAAATGGTTGTCTTTCTTATGTTTACCGATTTTCCTTCGAGTGGCTAGGTAAGTATGTTGTTTATTGTGAACAATATGGGGTTTGCTGCTACTGAATTTGGAAAAAATTGAACCAATTGGTCCTGATTTAGTTACCTTAGAGTAACACATTCACTGCGAAGCCTGAATGTACAGAGTTCTACTGCGTCTAAACTCTCGAGTATTCATTAGCAAAGTTCCCTAAACTAACACTTACTCACTGTTTTTCACTAATTTTCTTGCTAATGCTATTTCATATTGTCAAATATAAAAATACTTTGTTTTTTTTTCACGCCTTAACATCCGACTAAACACTGATTAATTAACTATTATTTATTTATTTATTTTCTATACGGTTTGTCATTTGAATGACATGAACTTTTGACTTGCCGACGATCAAATCACAATATATTGGATAAAAGGTGAAGGTGGTAAAGCATATACAGTAAATCGTGAAGACTTATCACCAGCTGAACAGTTAATATTCGACAAGGGTTGGGAAGATAATGCCTATAATCAATATGCTAGCGATCGAATTAGTGTGAGACGATATTTGCCAGACTATAGAGAAGGAGCGTAAGTAACCGTCGAAATTGTGATTATTAATTTTGTTTTCTCTATGTAAACGGATTTACTGTTGTTTGCTAATTTTTTTTATTCCGTGTGATTGGTATTTTTGTGGTTATTAAACCACCTTCTATAATTTTGTTGTGAATTTGCAAATGTTAGTTGGCTACCTGGGTCAAAGTCAGGTCTTCAAAATGTTGGGAATATCATGGGTGCTAGGAGAGTGGACTAACCGTTAAAGAATGCATATAATTTTTGCAACTCATACATTCGAGCATAAGCTAGTTGATCATACCTTCCAATTTCATTAGAATTAAGAAAGTCTAAACTATTAGGTGTCATCACTACTCCTTCATGTTTATGATATCATCTCATGTACTTAACGTATGTTGTGAAAGAATGACTTAATGGTTAAAACGTTGTTGTTAACCTGGGAAGAGAAATTCTTGGATAAACGTAGTAATGGTAGACCTTGAGACATGAAATCAACATAGTTGCAACCAAAACAATAAATCACATTTGACGAGAATCACACTTTATACTGACTGAAGTTAGAAATGCAGGCCACTAGATTACGACTCATCGCTTTAAAAGTATCAGAACAACAAATGCAGGAGAAAACGACCAGTGTAGCAGTAGGTCTCAATATACACAAAGGGAAAAACAAGATTGTCTGATACAACACAGCATGCACCAATCCAGTCACAATTGACCGAGAAGATTTGGAAGATGTAAAAACCTTTACATATTTAGGCAGCATCATTGATGAACATTGGTGGATCTGATGCAGATGTGAAAGCGCGGGTCGGTAAAGCAAGAGCAGCATATTTATAACTAAAGAACATCTGGAACTCAAAACAACTGTCAACCAACACCAAGGTCAGGATTTTCAATACAAATGTCAAAACTGTTCTACTGTATGGAGCGGAAACGTGGGGGATTACGAAAGCAATCATCCAGAAGATACAATTGTCTGTTAACAGCTCTCCACGCAGAATACTTCTGATTCGTTGACCAGACACTATCAGGAACAAGCTACTGTGTGAGAGAACAAACCAAATCCCAGTGGAGGAAGAAGCTCTATAGGTGAATAGGACACACATTGAGGAAAGCACCCAACTGCGTCACAAGACAAGCCCTCACATGGAATCCTCAAGGCCAAAGGTAAAGAGGAAGACCAAAGAACACATTGCGCCGGGAAACGGAGATAGACATGAGAAAAATGAACAAGAATTGGATGGAATTAGAAAAGAAGGCCCAGGACAGAGTGGGTTGGAGAATGCTGGTCTGCGGCCTATGCTCCTTTAGGAGTAACAGGCGTAAGTAAGTAAGTAACGAACACATGCTTGAATGTACTGAACTCAGTACTAAGTATGTAGATTATTACTCTCTGTTTTCTATACTGTTTATCAGGCATTATTCACTTGCTACAGCTGTTTTATTTTCTCAAATAATTAACTGTTTCTAAATGAGGATGTTTTCTATTCAGTTTGTCTCGTGATCAAAGTAAAAGAATATCTTTTGGAGAACCGATGGTATTCCTTATAAAATAAGCTTTAAGATGGATTGACTTAATGTAGTGTCTGCTTCACTGGAGTTATTACAAATTGTATTTGGATAACCTGACGATGATAAAAATGCTTTTTACTGACAATTCATCTGTTAAAACAGTAGTTTGATGATCTTCAATTTGATTTTGACTATAATTTAGTCTTTCAAGTTCAATCATCATTTTCTTTTAACAACTGTCATACAGTTTTCAAGTGAATAACTATTGTCCTTGATGTTTATCAGTAATTGGAAAAAAGCTGCCTTAATTACTTGATAAATGAACATAACTGACTATAGTGACAATAATAGGATTATAAAAAGCTTGTAATCATTTAGTGAGTGTTACCATTTTCCACCCGAATACCGTATGATCAATTAGTTATACATTTCGTGACTGGTAAATTTAAATGATTTAGAAATTATTCGATTATTTTGTGTTTTTCACAACAAATTGTTTGACCCTTGAATCTATACCCGTATATGAGTATATAATAGGTATATATACCAATATGCATATACACCTATATATAAATTTCAGATAACAGATGAAGGCAAGCATTTACCTATTCGTAGCGATATCGTTTTGAACCAGTTATCATTTTAACTGACAAATATTGATGTTTTTATATTGATTAATCCCAGCACTGAAATAAGTTATGGATTTATTGACCAATAATATGGCACTTTGTTAATGTTATGGCAAAGTTTATCACTTCACCAATTCTTATTTACTATTTTTAGCATCAGTACAATGAGCAGTCAAATATATTCAGAGTATATTGTATTACTCAGTCTATGTGGCTTAAAATGACGCTATGAAATAACATACGTCATGTTTATCTATTCATTGTTCCTTTAACTGTATGCCATCACTACTTACAAACTTGTTTACTTATGTAACTTTACTCTTTTGTCTTCGTTCTGATGTCTTTATGACTGATAACTTTTATCTTTGTTAATAATATTCTAGGTGTAAAGTCGATAAATATGGAAGTAATCTGCCCTCAGCATCAATTATAATTTGTTTTCATAATGAAGCTTGGTCAGTATTATTACGTTCAGTACATTCAGTGATAGATCGATCTCCACCAAGTTTGTTAAATGAAATTATACTTGTTGACGATTTCTCTGATCGTCGTAAGTCGTGTCTATATGTTTTGATACTCTTTACTATTGAGTTACTAATGAGGTATTTGAGCGATAATATTATTCCAGCTTTCAGTGTATCTTTACATCTTTAACAGCAAGACACCATTCTAGAAACATGTTACATTATGAGATGCTTTTACTTCTTGTATTAATACTAACAAATTAAGGTTTTTTTGTAACGGAAAGAAAAGCCATGTGTTCAATTAATCGTAAATAAATATTAATTCATCTAAGATGTCATTCTAACGTGTGTTGGCTTGATGAGCAGTTAGTGTGACTTTAAAGTTATTAAAATTGATCTTTTTTTGGTTACTTGGTGAACACAAAATAATTCAAAAGTTAAGGATAATTTTGTTATGACCCTAATTTATCTACGGTGATCAAATCTCAGCGCATTGATTGAAGTCGATGCAATACTTCTACTGGGCGCCAATGAACTCTGAACCCAGCCTTGTAACCATCGAAGAGATAATAAAAGAAAGTAAAACATTCTTTCCTCCTCCAACTGACAATGATATTCGGAAAGATGCATGAGTGTTTGCACATTATGTGTCCTTAGATATCAATCACTGGGGATGAGAGTTTCCTGGAACCTGACCCCCGGTCTTGAAAATTCAAAATAACAATTATTAAAACATTATTTTTGTGCTGGTTATAGTCGAGCACTTAGGAAGTAACCTAATATGGCTGAAGTGCACTTGACATGACTTCTAATTAGTACTGCATGAGTTACATCTTGAACATGGACATGATTATTATCAGTGCAGAAGGATTTGTGGAGATTGTACGTTTTATTCCTGCTTTCGTATGAGTGAGAAACGTCGATAATAAAGGTACTTATAATATTTATTTACAATCTTGAGTGTTATGATGAATAACGTTAAAAAAATTAATCCTGTTAAGAAGAAACCGGTTTTAGTATTGATTAGTCTTTGTATCAGAGACATGGCATCTTCCTGTTATCCCGTTTAATTTTTGTACACATCATGAATCTCACAATATAGTTTCATAAAATTGTAACATCCTGTCACAGAATTGGCCTTAATAAACGATTTTATTTATTATTATTTGTCATACGTTTTGGTTGTTTTTATTCGCCCAATGTTCCTTCAAATATACTTTACTCTGTCCAATTATCTGAACACATCCTATTGCATAATGCTTCAGTTTCTAATGAATGTTATTTCAGGATCTATATTTTACAAGTCATTGACCTATTTCTCATTATAAAATATTGTTTGAAGCGTTTGTTATTTTTACCACAACTAGTACACCTGTCATCACATTATCAATTCGTACTTTCTACTTATTATGTTTATTTATGTAATCCATCTCACTGTTATCATTGACTCATAAACTACCTTGACTGGTTTAATAATTTCGTATATGCCTGTAAATATTATTGTATAATCAAGTTTGGTGAGAATCTTATTGAAAACTATATTGTTCGTTTTTATGTGTTGTTGTAGTACGAATAAGTTGTTTTTGTGATGCTGCCACACATTACCTAATTGCTGTTTAATGCTCTTCAGCAGATCATTCAATAAATTTGTCATTTCCTGTGCTAATATGGTCTTATTTTGTGTTATATTCTCTTTCTAACGGTTATGACTCAGCTATTCCTATTACTTAGTATTCTCGGACACCGATTCACTCGACAAGTCCCCAAATCAGAACACGGTTGAGCAGGAAAGAGATTATATTCCGAATAACAAAGTTAGGTAGAAGTAAGAAGCACAATAGGGAAAACGTATGTATATTTATAGTTTTTACATGCGAAGATTCTAGAGTATTCTCCGAGTATCGACTAGTGCTGATTGGATAAGAATTAGGCAATCACCGTGCACCAAAGCAATCGTACATTGAGCATGCTTTAATCCAGTCTATGTCCCGCAAACATTTTGTTACACAATAGAATGTAAATTACAGTTATAAGTTGTAGTTGTTTGGTAATTTAATCATAGAGTGTTTGTTCAGATTTGTTGTCATGCAAATGTATAATAAGTTTTATTCATTTTGATTTTGTATCGTTGTAGCCACTTTATGTTAAAGAGTCTTTTAAATATAAATATCGTGCAATCAATGTAGCTTAACGAATAGACAATTCTGTTCACTAAATAATTCATGTATTTGCATGTTTCTAGTTAGATTTTATTAAACATATATCAATTAGTCTAATAATTTCTGAAACTATTCTCATAAAGTTGAATAACTTCATTTTTCAATATTAAGGAAATAAAAAAGATTGGAGAAAGTTGATAGTTATGAGAAAAAACAGGTTATAATAAGAGTTCAGTGTTATGATTTTGGTTATCAATAAAGTTTTAATTCATAAGGTATTGTGACCCATTTTCAACTAGATAGATTTTAGTTATTAGTGAGATTCATGAAGCGCGTTTCGTTTTATTTATCAATTGGATGTGCCTGCAACCTACTATTGATATTCACAATGGGGCTCGAATCCAGTAGTTTTCATTCCCAATGCCCAACATGTTCTCCACTTAGCTACTGAGTTTATATAACCACCAACATGTAACGGGCACAATGTTGATATTATCATTCATAAGTTCTCAAATTCACTTGTTGTTGATATTCACAATTTGATTTTGATCAGTTTTTGTTGGCAGCTTGTGACAGAATGATTACATCGAGGCAATCCTCACAGGATGCACATACACCGATAAAAACTGATCAAAATTCTATCATGAATAATAACAAAGGGATAATGTAAACCATTATTAATATTGATTCCTTGATCAAAATATTTTAAACTGAAGTACTGAGTTTTGGGTTTGAAGATCACCTTCACTGCTACAGTTTAATCAATCTTCATACAGAAATGTTCGCCTTCAAGGCTACCAAGTGAATGTGTATTTTTATACCAAGTTGAAGTAATACTATAATACAATAATATACGTTGTGAACACTACCACAAGGTAGTTTATAACAATTGTTTATTAATCACATATATATAATTTGTTGTATGCAACTACTACTAACGCGTATTGATGAGATTTTGTTCTTATTTAGAACTAAGAATTTAGGAATTTGATGTAGAGTTGGAGCGGAAATTCGATGAAGCTGTCACATCAAAAGACAGAAATTTGATCGATTGTCAAATCCTAAGATTGAAATAATAGGCGGAATACTTTGAAAAACAGTTTAACTACCTATCAGATACCTAGTGACTTGCACTAATTTACATCTGTTCATATCCTCATTCGTGTATAACTGACTAATTTTTACATGGGCTGACATCAACCAGTAGAAGAATGTTGCACGACCATCCATCATTGTCTTCACTGAGTAACTGCCATACAACAGACACGGTTGAACTCCACTGGCCATGGCCAGTGGTTGAAGTTAGGCCAGCCGGGTCATTGGCTTAAGGATTAATCATTCGTGCGCGAGACCAAAGGTCCTGGATCCGAATCTCACGTGTGGGCTCTTGTATTCGCAATGCAGAAAAGTTTCACACTAGGACAAGATGGTCGTCCAATGTTTCCAGGTTTTCAATGATTGTCTAATATTAATCCATTCATGATATCAATTTAAACTCAACACTCTACACAACCCTATACTAATAAAAAAATATTGTATATTCGTTTTTTCTTTCGTACTGTCTATCCACAACTCCATACACATGATTACATCTAGTATCCATTGGTTCCTTTGTAAGACCAGCTTCGAAAGTCGGTTCATGCATAAATGTTGGTGTACAACTATTGAAAAAAATTTTAAACTAAAAATGAAACCAATTTCTACACAATCTTCCTGATAGATACATATGTTAAATATGTGATTAAAAATAGTAATGTCTATATTTGTATTCTCTTAAATGTGTTATGTTAATTCAAGTTTATTTAAAAGAACAAAAAAAACAACAACAGAACTGATGATTAAAATAAAATTTTAATTTATCATTATGTTCAATAAGTTGCTTCATCAGTATTAATAACATCTCTAAAAGGTTTGAATAATTTTTTCTGGTTAGCGTTTTTTTAGCGAGTTAGTTTTCTACGGGATGGGGACGCTAACCCCATACCCAACCCTCCTCCTTTATCCGGGCTTGGGACCGGCAGTAGCCCCCGGAGGGACTCCAGGCGGAGTTAGTATTAATAACAAGTCTACTTTAAATAGTTTAATCAATAGTTTCCATTATAATTGTATTAACTTAATTAAAACGTACTTGCAATACAATAGCAACTATTTTTTTTAAAAAAAAACATTAAACATAATAGTAACACTGACATTATGTACTATTGATCTATATTGAGTGAGAATAATAAGCAAATTTTATTATTATTATAGTCGGACAATATTAAGTCAATAACCTATATGGTGTTCTATTGGTAAATATCCTCTCTCTCTCTCTCTATCTGTCAATTAAAAGAAATATGAGCTTTTATTATATGAATTACTTAACTATTGACTCAAAAGTTGATTTCAATAGAAAATCGGTATATAAAAAAAAGTTGTTCAATTCTAAACAAAACAAAAAATCGAAAAATAAATGAAGAAATAAACAACATTGAAATGTGTTTGAAGGAGAAAACTATCTATTTATTTATAAAAAAAGATTAGTTAACAATGTAGTGTATATTTCACTTGGTATTGTTTTGCTTGAATCTTTCCATTGAGGTTTAAAACTGTATTATTGCTTACAAAAAGCTTGTGAATTAAGGCAATATTGAGGCATACGTACAGTATGCACATATATGCCAATAACAGACTGATCAATTGCAGTTTTAAAACTCAATCGGAAGATACAAACCAAACAATACTAAGTGAATTTAAATTCACTCCATTGCACAAGCAAGTGGGTATCAGGAATCAGTAACTGAGTGGATAACGCGATGGAGTTTGAAGAAAAAGGTATTAGGTTCGAGTCCCAGAGTGAACACCAACTCTCTGAGATGCAGGTACATCCAGCTGACGAGTCCCAAATGGGACGAAACGCACGTTCTGGATTCCACCACTAGCCACTATCCATCATTGCTTACAAAAAGTAGTGCATATTTGTTTAATGGAAAAAATAATAATGAAGAGTATTGGATACTTTTCGTTGTGATATTGTATTCCGTTAGCTGTATGGTTGAATGGAATAGCTTTTTTTTCTAAAATTGAAATTTAAAGTTTACTTCTATATTAAGGAGGTATCGACGATGTTGTTCAAAATAAGAGAATGGATGCTTTGTAATTAAATTAATCCTTTTAAGAAAATTGAACGTTGTTATCATTATTATCCTATTGAAATTGGCTAATTATATCTGTAAATTGGGCGAAGTTATCTATTTTTGTAAAATGTTTATATTTTATCATGAGATTCATGAATGATTACCATAATAATTCATCGTTTTCTTCTGCTTTTCAAAGAAATGTAAAGTCATTTCTGAACAAATTCATACAACAAATATATTCGGCAATAATCTAAAGTCGTCATGAGAGCAAGACTGTTCATAATCAGTTACAAATGGAAGCTAATCACTGTTTAAACTTACTTTATACATATTTTTTCGATTCACAAGTTAACTCTTTTTAAAAAGGAGATTGGGTTACAATAATTTTACATTTTGTACTGAAAGTTCCTTATTATAATCAAATGTTTGTTGTTAAATAAAAATATTATTACTATTATTATTAATTAAAAAAGACATCCATCTAAACTATGAATCATAATCATTTCAGAATTATGTGTTAATAAAATCATGAGTCAATTGAAGCTAGACCAGCATAGAAAACCTGGAAGCACTGGGCGGCCGTTTCGTCCTTGTATGGGACTCCTCAGCAGTGCACATCCACGATCTCGCATCAATTGACTCATGATTTCAATCTGTGAAATTTCTAAAATCTCCACAAACCCCTTCAGATATTTTTTTATCGTGAACTGAAGTCGAAATATGTATTTCATGACCAGGAAAACTTGCTTTAATATATATATATATATATATATATATAATTCAGTTGCAAAATCATAACATTCGTAATATCTTATCATGTTTATGAACCATGTAATTAATCAAAACATTTGTAGATTGATATGTGTACACTGTGTGCTGGTCAATAATCATGCGATTATAACAGATTTAATTGACCTAACAAGTGATTATTGAAAAAAATAGATAGATGAGGTCACATCTAATCATTTGCTCACGAAATCAAATTCATTCAGTCTACCATGAAGGATCATTTAAATGTTACACAGGATATCTGCTTTCAGTTCTCATGGCAGTGTGCTCTTTGATCTTCCTGTTTCCCGTTTTCCTTCAAGATCTCGAGCTAAGGCTTGCCTTGTGATACAGTTTGATGATTTCCTTAATGTATATCCTATCCACTTCCAACATCTTTTCCTTATGTCCTTCTCATCTGGAAGCTGGTTTGTCCTCTCTCACAGTAGACTGTTGTTGATGTTATCCGGCCAACAAACATTGAGTATCTTGTGTAGACAATTGTTTATAAGTACTTGTACACTTTTGATGATGGTTTTCATAGTTCACGAGTCAATCTAAGCTAGACTACCATTGAAAACCTGGAAGAATGTGAAGTTTTGCTATTTGTATTCTTTACAAGCTAAATAAACTTGTAATGTTATGTATTCAGCTGTAATTGATATGTAGAAATGATTTTTAAATCGTTGTATCTTCGGGAACTTAACTGTTATCATAAATACTTTGATTATTGTATTGATATATTCTAATTTCTAATGAACTATGCATCTATTTGTATTTAGTTAATGTGAATAAAGCTTATTTCAAAAGTGAAATGTTCCACAGTATTACGTGTGTATGTTCTGGAAGTCAGTAATATTGACATAATCTATTTAATATCGTCTTTTTGATAATCGGTAGTTTATTTTTATCCTACATTGATGTCTATTTTAAGCTTTATTGGCAAACAGAGAGATAAAAGAGTAACATAGAGTAGCTTATTTGTAAAGGTTGTGTAAAATCTTCTTCCAGTTGGTGTCAAAGACTCCAATTGATCAGTTGAGAAGATTCAATCAAATGAAAATAATTTGTAAGTCACATCATAGCACAAGCCTCTGGCTATCTGGACTTAATAACAAAATTGGTAACGCATTGAGCGTTTAAAGCAAAAAGTGTTAGGTTCGCCTTTCACTGTGATTATCAACACTAGGATGCTAATATATTCAGCTAACATGTCCCAAATAGGATGAAATGAGTGTCCCAGATTCCACTGCTAGACACTAACCAACTCTAATCAGTAGTACAAAATGATTGTATATGTATTCAATATTCATATATTTGATGTATTTTACTGATGATTATTAATGATAACGTTAGAAGTATACAATAGTTTATTGATTTTCACCAATAAGTCTCCTTTTCTTCATTTATATAATGAAGGTTCTTGATTTTCTTCAATTCTAGACATTCTTATAATTAGTACAGTTAATTTTATTTTATTTCCTTCATGTTTTAATTTGTTCATTGTTCTTTTCTTTTAATGACCCAATTAGTCAGTTTGTTTATATCGATTAATTCCAGAGCAAAATAATTAGCGATACCCTGTACCGTTTTTTTGTAATAATAATATTAACTATCATTCTATTCGCTTTTTAGGTCATTTCCAGCATTCAGTGCATCTTTTTAACCTGTTTGATAAAATGTGAATAAATTGTAATTATTTAATAAGTGTACACAAATTATAAAACATGCATTTATAATTTTAATGGTGAAAGTATTGTTTAGTATTCTCATATATATATACATATGAAATAGTTTGTACAAATTAACAAATTATCGATAATTTTCGTGTCCCTTTCGATGGTTACTACTATTGATCTGTTAGTAAGTATGTATCTTCGTTATGATAAAACACTTTATGATATTGACTGAAAAAACCTTTCGAAACTATCTTAATAAAATAATGAATACCCTCTTATTATTATTATTATTATTATTATTAATCTTTCTACTAATATCTAATTGAATATGTCGATAAAAATCAGGTATACCATAACGGTCATTATTATTATTATTCATAAACTATTGAGAAAAATAATTGTTCTGATAAAATCAATTAATTGATTGTTAAAAGTTTCAGGGGTGGTAGGTGTTATTTTTTTTATTCAATAGTAGTATTCACTATGTTCAGTATTATGTGTTTGATGATGATATGAAGAAAAAATTATCTGGTTAAAATATATACACGATAGCAACAATATTCCGTCCTTTGTATCCAGTTAACTTGTAAGTAAACAGCATTGTATAGAGCTGCCACTCATCGATAGCAGGCTTAAAAAGGTTTGACTTGAATTTAGCTGTAAGTAATTCACCTCACTGTAAACCTTTTTATGAAAAGCTTGCGAGTATATTTGGTTAACATCCATGATAAGGGCGTTCTGCTTGAGCATCTGGGCTACCTGTTCCTGCCATTTAGATATTTCAACAAGTTATCTATTTTTATTTGTTTTAATATATCATTATGTTTATTAATCGCATGACCTATTTTGCTGCGTTTCTGAAAAGTGTACAACCTTTCGTTATCAAAGTTACAAAAAACTCAATAAGAGCCAATGTGGTTGCTGGCAATATACAGCGAAAAAAAGCACATTATTCAGATGTTCATTTACTGAACTGCTAACATCTAACTGGCGATCACTCAATATTTATCGCCATGACCGACCAAGAAGAAAGAAACGGAAACTTGTTGAAATACTTTACGCTGAGAATTCTATATTGTACCAAAATATACTATTCTGCACTGCATTTTGATAATTCCCCTTTGGCATTTTTGCTTGCTGAGTAACTTATTTTGATATTTTGTCACAAGGTTTTTTGGAGATAGATCTTGGTTAGTAGTTGAATTCAGGGCAGACATCTCGTCCTAATCCATACTAACCTGGACGAGTCAGGAATTATTCGGATTTAATAACCCAGTGGACACTTGCAGCAGAACGTAATGCGTTTGAGTCTTAATATGAACGTTAGTACTGCAATACATTTATATCCAGTTAACGAATCTCAGGACGAAACTTGGGTTCTAGATGTCACTACTAAGTACAACCCATCTATTCTGGAAACGATTTCTGTCGAATAACCTTTTTATTTATAGTTCAAACTTCTCAACCTTTTTCAAACTGAACCATTGAGTTTTTTGCATGACCTACTATTGTTGTACATGATTTTGAAGTTGCTAATTTTCGTGTTTTAACATTTATGTACTGAAGTGTTTAACTATTAAAACTGTCCTTATAAATAATCAAGTTCAGTTGATTAAAAATTACACCATAAAACCTTATTCAGTTTCTTGTTATGATAGTCGTTGTTGCAAAATAGATGGATTATTTGAAATATAAATGTTGATAACAGGAGTAAATATCTTGACAACTGCTTTGTGCGTCCATTTTGAACTGCTCTATTATCAGTCAATTATTTACTATTTTCGTTCGCCAAAATCAGTTTGATAGAGCACTAATTTACCATAACAACGGTATTTGTTCTTGACTTGTTTTCTGTGAATTCAGCCTATCTCAGAGAAGCACTAGAAGAATATATGGGAATGTTAAATATTGTCAAAATTGTTCGTACTAAACAACGTGAAGGATTGATCAGAGCAAGAATGATTGGTGCAGAACACAGTACTGGGAAAGTGCTCGTATTTCTAGATTCGCATATTGAATGTACCACAGGTGAGCTTGGTAATTAATTAAAATTACCTGATTGTACGAGTGTTTCATAATATTGTATCTTTTACAGAATGTAAATATGAGTTTTTTGAGTGTAAACATATTTTTATAACGAATAAAGATTAAGAGGTCGAATGTGCTCGACTTGATGCTGCCAGGTTTAACAACCATACAAAAGAACTATTGAATTTTGCCATTTTTATCACTATCTACGTTTTTCATCACTAAATTAGTTCGTATGTAGTGAAAAATTTTCTTGATGATACTCAAGTAAGATTATTTCCAAACAGTTTAGATCATATTTTATATGATTTAATTGACTCCTCATATTCTTTTCGATAATATCCGTTAACTGTTAATTTAATGAATTATTTTTCACGGTTCTTTGTCTATTCTTTTGTTGAGATACGTATGTGGATTTGTAAACACTACATAAATGTAATTGAAAAGCATGTATGACATTTTGCGTAGACTTTTTCCTCTGTTGGTTGTAATTATTCATCCCCTTCATTGTATATAATTCGATAGTTCATTCTTATTTAGAAATTATATTGTATTTTGTTATTATTCGATGATATATGTATATTTGACCATGTCAGTCATTCACTGATGATTCTGACTGGTTTTATATGAGTGTTGTGTGGATGTGCGTTTACCACATACAGTCTTTATAATGTTTCTTCATTTTTTTTATCTATCTGATTATAAATATTGATTCATGCTTTGTTAAAAGGAAGTTTCTACGTTTGTCTTCCCAGCTTCACATCTCGTCTTAGAGTCTTTCTAATCAAATGAGTACTTGAAATAGATTCATCTGAATTAATTCGTATTTGGCCTCTTATTACACTCGTCGCCTAAACGGGGATAAATTAGATACACTGAACCAAACAGAGGATTTCTGTTCATAGTCGGTCAACGTTAATCCCTTCGTCATTACTCATGTAATCGATATGTTGACACACATTATTCAAACAACATGTAGCTACCTAACATATTTGAAGTGAATTATATAATGATCATAAGACAAATCTGTGCTCTAATAAAATGTACATTCGATTTACGGCTTTCTGACTTTTTGAATCCAGAGGGAGAGAGACAGAGTTCTTACTGATAATGTATACTTGATCTCCCACACATTTCTGTATATTGTACCATATAGATTTCACTTCATATGAATATGAAATTTGTGGTTATTTACGCTTCAACATTGAGACAATATTCACCATTCAGTTGATGTAGTATAACTAAACACAATACAATGTTGTCCGCACTGACATATAAGTTGTAAGTCGAACGTGACAAGAATACACTGTTGAAATACAGCTAATCAATGACAACCGGAAATCGTGTAATAATGATAAGTGACACACTGATATTAGTAGTATCCTTCAAATCTGTGCTTCACTGATCTTAAACCATCGGTTGCAATGTACATGTGACGTTTTGTATAAAATTGTGCATTTTATTGTTGATTAGTTGTTTTTCATTTACAAACGTACATGGTTCAACGTCATTAAATAGTTAACCGTTCATACTTGTCTTTGTTTATTTCCTAGGTTGGCTTGAACCACTTTTAGATCGTATTGCTTACAATTCTTCAATTGTTGTTGTTCCTGTAATATCGACTATAAGTGATACAACGTTGAAGTTTAATTTTCTTAAGGCGGCTCATGTTCAAGTTGGTGGATTTGATTGGGGTTTAACATTCCGATGGCACGAACAAACTGAACGTGACAAAAATCGACCTGGTGCACCATATTCACCTGTTAGGTAATTAATACAGACTAGATTTTGTGATCTAATTAAATTTTATCAAGATTACGTAATATGAATAATAGCAGTAAAATTAATAAGTTAGTAGCGGATTATAATGTGAGTGTAATAAGTTGATTAGAATGTTTTGTTACAGTAAATAAAGGTAATAGAGGTGGAAAATTAAATGAAGTTATGTAGGGAAGAATTATGGGTAAAATCATGAGGATATTTTGCACCTCTACTACCTTTAATTATTGTAGAGAAACTTCTTAATCATCTTACTGCACTCACGCAGTAATTCGTTTGCGTTGGCGCACGAAACCGAAGGTCCTGGATCCGAGTCCTGCATGCGAGATCGTGGAAGCGCACTGTTGGGGGGTCCCATAATAAGACAAAATGGCCATTCAGTGTTTCCAAGTTTTCAGTGATGGTCTAGCTTATATATTAAGAGTTATATTGTTATTATTCATATTACGTAATGTAGTATTATAATCCTTCGATAGCATCATCATGTTCATTCCCTGTTCACATGTCCTCATGGAACTAGTACTTCAACATAAAAAAATTTCATGTAAATTTCATCTGTTCAAAAACTGCTGTTATCAATCTTTTTATGTTTTTACTTAAGTTTTCTTCGTAGAGATTGTTTCTCTCTTTTTGAAATCGAATGACAACCTGGTAGTATTCGAATGTATTCAACAAAAATGCAGTTAGACTTGTTTATTTTCTGCATTTTAGGCACTTTTAATGCAACCAGTTAATGATAATTGTACAGTATAGAGTTGATTTGATCGTTAAAGATTATATATGTTTTTGATAATTTTGATTATTACCTCGAACAAGTCCAGTCAAGTTTGCTAGACGAAGCTTTGGAATCATTTTGATTTCAACGGCTGAGATTATGTGAAATATAATTTCCACATATAATGATAATTATTGTTATTGAAATTACAGACAATGGTCTTTATTTCGACGCGCGGATTGTCATGCTTAAGTAATCTTGGACGTAACAGACACCCATTGCTTCCAGGTTTTCAGTGGTGATCTGGCTAAGATCAGGATTTGATTTAAAAACTATGGAACTTCTGTCATCTTGATATATCCTTTATATTATTAAAAAAATGTTTCTGTCTGAAATACTTCACCACACAAAAAACTTCCTGAGTGTTTTGAACTAGTAGGGAACCCCACTTTTTCGCTCGTCATCAGTTATAATCAGTGATATCTCTTTTATTCCTCTGATATATGCTTTTTATCTATCAAACTACAATGGTTAAATCTTAACATGACTACAATCTATTAAATTCAAAGTTTTTATACCTTTAAGTAGATTAAATTTCCAGAATTAATTCTGAACAGTTTTAAATAGTAAAGGTGAAAAACCACATATCATAAACATTTGATTTTTCTTTACTTGCATTTTTCATCGAATGATTTTCTCACTCCATCTTATTATGTTTTCTATAATTAGTTGTTTGTCAGATTTAACAACTTTCAGGTAATTAAAGAACGTTAATTCAATAATTCCTCAATAGACTTAAAAACAAAACAAAACAGAACTTATGACTTCGAGATGAGTACTTCAATCAATGCTTCGTAACTAGATCATTATTTATAAAATTTAATGAATTAGCTACATATTGCATTGTTTTTTACTTGTCCTTATAAGGATTACTGTAAAAGTATTAGTCAATGATTATTTAATATTTCGATTGATTAAGTAATTATTCCTATGTCAATCATAGTTTACAAAAAATAATATCGCGAATTGATTGCATTTAAACATGTACAACATGGAATGACAGCTCAGTGATCTAGAGAAGTTATGGGTACGTGCATGAGATCAAATGTCCTGGGTTCGATCTTTGGCAGGGTTGTACATTCACACCTCTGAGTAGTTCTCTGCTGTGATGAAACAGTTGTCCATCACTTCTTGGTTTTCAGCGATGGCCAAAGTTGGATCAGTCTATGATGTGAATTGTGTGAATAGAATAATCTTCACATAACTCCAAAACTCAAAATAATAAATATCTGCACGAAATATTAATCCACATAATAATCAATCTTTTTCTTGCACTTTTATAATCTGTGAAAAACACCCTTCACATGGTTGACTTGATTGTCCAGTTTTGATTTGTGGATCTTGTATATATGTTCATCATTTTTCGGAAATAAATATCCAGACATTTTTGGTAGTCAACCTAATAACGTTAGCCAACCCAGTTTCATAAATTGGATTCATGTACCTAGTTCAAATTACTTTGACTTTTTTATACCGATTTCTCTTTAGCTCACTTTGATTAGACTGTGTCAAATGGACCATAGTTTTCGATGTTCAAATATTTTAATTTACTCGTAAGTTACTAGTATTTGATCACAGATCTCTTAGAAATATTGCCAGTATCTGCTGTGATCGCAACTTAGTTCCTAAAGCTGAATTCTAAAAGACATACTTATTTTTTGATAAAGAAAAGGTTGGTATACTGAGGCAATCAGACATATGCCAAAGAACTTGTAAACGATACTGACGCGTACATGAACCATATCAGCTTAAGCTTATATCACGGCAGCAACCAAAAAAAATCAAGCATCCCATTTAAATCGATGGAAATGATGACATAAAAATTTCATACTCAAGCCACTTCAACAATGGTGTTTGAGGTAATGAAACCTATTCCAATAAAAGTGTTATAATAACCCATAGTGTTATTGACGCGGTAGACGCCCATCTTCGAGATCAACAAGCTGGATTCCGTAGAGATCGGTCGTGCACAGACCAAATTGCGACACTACGGATCATCGTCGAACAATCAGTTGAGTGGAACTCGTCACTGTACATTAACTTCATTGATTATGAAAAGACATTTGACAGTGTAGATAGGAGAACGTTATGGAAACGTCTTCGACACTACGGAGTTCCTGAGAAGATTGTCAACATTATCCGGAACTCATACGACGGACTACAGTGCAAATTAGTGCATGGAGGACAGCTGACAGATGCATTCCAAGTAAGGACCGGATTCAGACAAGTCTAACTACTCTCTCCCTTCTTCTTTCTTCTGGTGGTTGACTGGATTATGAAGACCTCGACATCTGAGGGAAAACACGGCATACAATAGACAGCTCAGAACCAATTAGACGATTCGGACTTCTCAGATTACCTAGCCCTCCTATCCCATACACACGAACAAATGCAGGTAAAGACGAAATAAAATTTTCTTGGCTGAATTCTTTTTGCTTATTCAAAATTTTTGTAATTAAATTATGGTTTAAATGATACAAAGATATTTCACAAGTTGCAATCATGAGCCAATTGAAGCTAGACCACCATGGAAAACCTGGAAGCACTGGACGGCCATTTCGTCCCAGTATGGGACTCCTCAGCAGTGCGCATCCACGAACCCGCCCCCGCGGGATTCGAACCCAGGACCTACTAGCTTCGCGCGCGAGCCCTTAACCATTAGACCACTGAGCCGGCATCCAACGGTGTTAATGTCTAACTTCAAGATATTTCTCAAGCTGATTTTTTTTTACATTATTGTAATGCTTCAACAATCAACGTTCTTCTTTGAAAACTCAGATTAGTTGAATACAAAAAGCATTCAAATCGTATTTTCTCAAATAAGTCAGTCACCTTACAAGTGGTTATTGAAATTTTCGTTATTCACCCTTTTTTGTTCCACTATCGTGTTATCATGACTTCAATAAAGGCAACTATAATGGGTATTCACTGAATTGATTATTAGTTATTAGATTTAATTTGAATGGTCTACATTGGCTTTCACTGTTATTCACTATTTATTGAATGATTTATATCCGTACACTATTGCTTATAACAAGTAGTTCAACAGTGATTCTAAATTTGAGGACACATTATTCAAGATTGATTTATCTACATGTTTATAATTTCATTTATATTTACAAGATATTTTCATTGTATCATGGGTTTTAAATGTTCATATCTCTGTAGAGCATTGTTCAACGAATACAAAAACACTACTTCAATTATAAGGTTACATAATGGATCCTTGAAACATTTACTTAAGTTTTTATAAATGAAGCATTATTACATTATATAGACCTGTATTTAATGTAATCCATAATTGTATTTTTAGAAATTCTATTTAGTATTTTATAATGTTAACCCCATCATTTTATCAAACGTCAAAACACAAATTTGAGTTGATGTTTTTCGTTTGATTATTCTAAATGGTATTTATTTGTCATTTACACTTCATTATTATAAAAGTTTATAATACTATACTTTTATCAGTACACATTTTGACATAAACAACATTCTTGTACATACTTAGATCTAGATTACATAACATGATTTATACTTTATTTTATTATTTAATAGGCCTTTCGAAATAATCTAAGTATTATTATTATTATTATTATTATTATTATTATTATTATTATGATTAATGTTCGTTTCTTATTTACTCTAGTGAACTGTATGCGCATTCGTGTGTTGTAAAATATTTGGGAATTCTGTGGAAATAGTTCTATTATATATATATCAACTTGAGTTGTGTAGATTTTTATTTTCCTGAAAGCATCACCTTGATGCTATCATTTTATGATAAATATTTTAGGCTATAAGTTATAAAGAAGAGTTCAAAATAATCTTGATGAATTTGACTAAATTCTTAGTCGATTAGTGATATGTCTTGTTGATTAAATGCTACTTGTTATTACCTGGTCATCGCTAATTGTTATTGTCGAAAACGCTTATCAATTATAAATGAAACGATAGACCTCTGCAATTCTCACGACGCGAAAGTAAGAACACAAAGACTGGTATGAGTGAAGATTTATTAACGTTCAAAACACGATGACCCTAGTCGAAAATACATTCGTTTATATATTAATTAGTACACACACTTTGATGAATAATTAAGATGAAATCACATATGTAAAAAATACTCAGTTATAATAAATCATAAGCTGAGCATAGTTTATATCCATTGAATACAAGAATATCGTATGTTATACAGAATAAACTATCATACGAGAAAAGAAAACATATACCGCATTGAGTAATCATTATATTGAATCAAAACGGAAGTAATCTTATTATTATTATTTTTATTAATGGCTTTATTCAGTATTATATTTTGGTACAATATGAAATTTTCAGCACAGGGTATTTCAACAAGTTACTTACGCAAAAAGAACAGCACCAAAGACAAAAAAAAGGAAAAAAGAATTAATAGACCCGAAAAACTGTACAACTTTTCAAGTTAGAGACATGTTAACGATGCAGGTTATTGATTAGGTTAACTCTAACAACCTGTTGGTCACAGAGTATATTTGCTAGGTAAAATATTATAGAACTTTCATACTTTTGCTTGCATGCAAGGATTTTAATGTAATTACGTCTCGTTCTACCAGAAGATATACAAGGAGAAAGATAAGAGTGAAGGGGATGGTTAGTATCTGATAAAATAACACCTGCCAGGAGTTTGCATGACTTTAGATGTCTATCCACAACCATATTAATTATGACCTCGAAAGATTCACCACACATCTTGCTAACTGCCTTCAGCACTTTCCGCAATACAGAAAAGTCTTTTCTCAAAAGCCCGGGATAAAAATCATAATAAGTAAATCAATCTAATTTTGACTTTTACCATCATATCAGTCAGAAAACAGAATAAGATTGGCACTGTAGTGTTTGAGAAAGAATTATGGTTGTATGGTTAAAATTCAAGGATAGGGTTGATTTACGTGTTATAAGCAACCTAAAAAGAAGAATCGAACATTTGTAAGAACTACAATCTAAATTTGGATGAATAGTTTTACAGTAGTTGGGTTCCTAATTAATGTGGAAAACATAAAAGTGATGAGTTATATTTGTAATAAATATCTCGGCAACCAAAGTAAATCCAACGTTTGATTATATTTCCTTCAAAAAGCTTGAACCAAATTGCCGTGTGTAACGTTGGATTTTATCAAATTTCATTTTCGGAGATCTTTTACAGATATGATTTTCCTCTTTAATGGCATCATTTTTACTCTTTAATATCAAGAAATAAATTCTGTATATAACTTTAAATGTTCTAGTCACTTTACAAAAGGTGTTCGTACTGCTCTTTTTACATGATGTAAGGTAAAATTGAGTGAGTTTAGGGTTAGAACCCTTTAAATCATTTTCTTGTTTCTATATGATCTACCGTTTTGAATAAGTTCAGATAATGATAGTAGTAGAGTTCAGTACACACATTTGATCCCATTTTGGATTTGTCAGCACTCCAGTACGAATGTTCACACTGAAACTCGAAACTAGTGCGCTTCACTTCGAATAATTGTATGTTGTTTGAACTCACTGGCTCAATAGGTAACTCATTTCTTTGTAAAACGAACTATTTTGAGTTTGAGTTTTATTGTGAGCATTGACATTGTTATACAAGTACATCCACTTGGTGAATCTCAGATAGGATGAAATGCATATCTTAAAATTTTCTTGATGCCAACTGTCCAAATTTAGTATATCATTCGAATGCTTTCTTCGTAAAATTCATCATGTTTTCTTAGTATCTAATTGATAACAATGTGTGTATATTTATAATGTTTTTTCAGTCATCTGTTTCATGTTTATTACTCCAAGTAAATATTACCATTTCTTAGTTCTCATTTTATTCTAAGCAATTAGTCCCTTTGATAAGTTTCGATAATGTAATAAGAAGACGAAGATTATCAGAAATATGTAGTTCTTGTAATAGTTGTAGCATTTGAACATACAAATGACGATTGTCCTCATGAATTATGCTTATTAACGGTTCGAAATTCGTTTATGTGTGTTTATATGGAGGAGGATTTCCTTTTATGTTGATTAACTGAGGTGATATATTTATTCTATCCATTCTCAAAGAACTGTGCTATTCCATGTGAAATGTTTTCATTCATTACTCATCACTTATTTCGTTTAGTTTTATTCTTTTGACTAAGTACTAGAGATTTATACGGTAACAATAGTAATATTTATAGATAGTCTGCATTAATTGCATGTATTTACATACACATGCCTACTATAATAAGCACTATTTGTTGGATTTCTTTTTTAAAGTCTAATATTTGTCTTAATAGTTGAATTGATGAGTCGATCCACTGAAAACCTGGAAACACTGGACGGCCGTCTCCTCCTAGTAGGGACTCTTCAGCATCGCGAATACAAGTTCCCACACATGGGACTCGAACCCAGGGAATTCGGTCTCGCGCACGAATGCTTAACGTTCTAGACCACTGAGCCGGCTAGCATTCAACAGTGTCAATGTCTAACTTCAATCGGTCCCTGATCTTACGCAAACCTTCATCCATTGTCTGGAGTGGATAACTCTCTCCATTTGACACGGATTGGATTCCACTAGTCACAGATTCTCGCTAGAACCCCAGGAAATCCATTTTCAAGCTAGTCACTACCGAACATACGGTTATTATCAGAAGGAGGGTTTGTGGGGCTTAGATAGACTCGTCAACTCATCTGTTAAATTACTACAATTTCCACAAGTCCCTATACTAATATCTATTTCTTATGAATATTAGTCCTTTTTTAGTTGTATGAAATTGAATATAGACACAATGAATTGACATTTCAGTTATTAGGTATCTGTTGTACAATGTAAAAAGTGTATGTAATTAGCCTACATGAATAACGATTATTTCTATAAATTAATAAAAATTCCCATATTATTGTATTAATACTATTAACTGTTGCAGATCATTGCGTCTATATGAATATTTACATGTGTATGTGTGCATTTATGTATGTATTAAAGATAGTTAATTACTGTAACTGATATTTCACAGGTAAAATACGTAAAATACGTTCTTGAGTGTTCCAATGATAATTGAAATTATAAACTGAAGCCATTTGGTAAACCATTAGACGCACCTACAATCATTCATAAACCAATGACATTTATTTCTCATAATAAGTTCGATACTCCTAGTTATGTAGGTCAGAGCATAGTAGTCATTTTATCACATAGCATAATCCCCATTCAATAACCTTGGTTATTTCTCGACTTTAAATCAAACTGACTACACAAGTGATAAGTTGGTCTTGTTGACTAGCGATAAAATTTTTCTTTAATATTTCTTTTTGTTTAGAATGAACAAATCTCGTTAAAACATTTAGATAAGTGCATAAGAATACTCTGACATTATTCAAGTGATAAGAAACTAGTGTACACTGATCTTGTATCCATTTATTTTCCTTGTTCGTCATGTTTCTATTCTTCAGATCACCTACCATGGCAGGTGGTTTATTTGCTATAAGTCGTGAGTATTTTAATCATCTTGGGAAGTATGATTCTGGTATGGAAATATGGGGAGGTGAAAATTTGGAACTGTCATTCAAAGTAAGCAAAAATGTATATATCTGCTTGCATTCTTCTAACTTAAAAAGAAATTTTTGCATTTCAGTTAGTTCAGTTTGTTTGTTGTGTATTTGTTCAGTCAGTTGAAACCTAGTTTTACTTCTGTCTTACTCCCTTTAATCTGCTTCATCTAATTTAAATAGACAGCGAAAATTCATAGAAATTTAAGAAATAAGTCACGCTTTCTTACGTTTAACAAATAATCACACTACTGCTCCTTCCCAAACTGAAGTCAGTGAAACATAATGCAAACTTGAGAGGTGATTGCATCAAGTCAAGTCTGGTAACCATTAGTCTGTCATCTTTTACTGAAACATTCAACCAGATATTAACTTGTTCTAAAATACAACCCATATGTATCAGTAGTGTATTCGTATTTGCTGAGGTAAATGAAAATATATTCAGTAATTATTTGAATGTCAGCCATGCAATTCATGTATTTGACTGAGCTACAGATTTCTATTTACGTATAATGATAGTCACAAATGAATTTTGATATTTGCATGCATATTTATGTAGGCGGTTGATTGTATTATTTTGTCTTGATTGGTATTTCCGTTCTCCCTTATTTATATTTAGACAACTTAATCTAGATAATTGAGAAAAACAAACATCAATATATAGTTTGTCAAATATAATAACCTATTGTCGACTACTATGTTTCATTTTCATCCTGATTTTACTACAATTATGGAGATTGATTTGTTGTATATTAGCCGTTGAATTATGTTTCAATTAGAGTGGTTCTGTATTGATTTGAAAACAATGATGAAATAATAGCCATGGAAATAGTTACTCGAATGTTCAATCGAACTGGTTAGCATTCGAGTGATGTTGTAGTGTTACTTATAGAATATTATAGAATACTATTAGTGTTTAAGGGTTATATAGAATACAACTGTGAGAGTGAGTTACATACTTGCATACAAAATACTCATCTGAGAACAGATAACATCAAACTGTGTTTGATATCTCAGTTATTCTACCTTAGGTGGTTTAAGCTAATGGCTTGATTATCTACTTTTATTCTGACTAACATTTTATAATTAGAATGCTAATTACTTACTTACGTCCGTTACTCTTCATGGAGGAGCATAGGCCGCATGCCATCATTCTCCATCGAACTCTGTCGTGGACAATTCTTTTCAGTTACTATTCATCCTTTTCATCTTTGCTTCCAATTCTTGACTTAGTGTGTCCTCGAGTCTTCCAGTTTTCCGTTTTTCTTCAGGATTATGGAGTAAGGTCGATTAACCTTATGAAACACCAATAACTGACATTTCTTGTTATGTTTTATAGTATATTCAGTTAGGCGCACTTGTATTCGTTGATCAAAATAGCTTTTCTTACGTAGTTTTTTAAGGAACATGGTCAGCCAAAACTATAGAACCTGCACTTGAGCGTCTCTTTGTGTACTAACTCTGTAATATAAATTCTGAAATAATGGACATGGAAAGTGATTACCATGCAAAATCTCACAAATGCGAACGTTCTCTGGTGTAAGGAAATATAACCCGGTAATCAAGATACTTGACAGCCGACTGTTGTGTTATGTTTCCAAAACAAAATTCTGTTATCTCTGCTCAGACACTTTTTAATTTCTATTAGCAATAATATATAATCTGTATTTCAACTTCAGCACACAAAACTGTATGTAGGTAGGTACTGAGTTACAATATATTCGCTTTACAAACTACCTTTGTGTCTTTTTACTAAAACGTTTAATATTCACATTTTTTAAATCATATATAAGCTCCATTAAGTAGTTTAGAGCGATAAATTATTAATGGATCAATTAAGAACCAGATTGCTAATTTAACTAAAGTTGGTTCAGTGATTGTAGAGATAGTTATGAAATATATTAAGAGTTCAGTACCGAAATAATTACAGTTTATTGAAATTTTAATATTTAATGAATGTTTTCCCGAATATTTTCAGTAAACTTATTACATGAAAATGGTTATATGATTCATAATTTAAGTGGTTTCTAAGCTTTGACCGTCTTTAAATGGAATAGAATCAAACGATGGAATTATGAAAATAATTCACTTCCAAGAATAGTTCAATTGTAGAACTGAGATATCACTTTTATGATCATCGATAATTTTTCCAGATCAAAAAATGTTTGTAAATACTTTACACCATTACTTTACTTACTTACTTACTAACTCCTGTTACTCCCAATGGAGTATAGGCCGTCGACCAATATCCTCCAACCCACTCTGTCCCGGACCTTCCTTTCTAGCTCTATCCAATTGTTGTTCATTCTTCTCATGTCTATCTCCATTTCTCGACGTAATGTGTTCTTTGGTCTTCTTTGATGCTTCTTCCTGATTTCTTCCTCTGCTGAGATCTGGTTTGTTCTTTCCCACAGTAGGTCGTTGCTGATAGTGTTTGATCAATGGATCCATTGATAATCATATATTATTGACTAAATTAGTCAAGGATTCATGAAACAAATGGAGTTTTAAAGTTTTCTGATAAATTCTCATTTTAAAAATTCTGAATAGTTTGTGCGGTAGGATTATAAATAAAATGAACGTATTTGTAATTTCCAAATGTATAGAACAATTCGATTTTTCGACGTTTTGTGACTCAGTGTAAGCCACTTCTTCAGAGAATGAACGAACAAATCAAGATTAACCCAAGGTTAAATAATACAAAGGAACAAAGCAAGAATATTAGATGCGATCAGTCAAAAAAGAGGTCTGGACAAGTCAATGTCATGTCATTCCGGTCAAGATAATTTATGTGCGATATGTATGTAAATTGTGTGTATGCTCAGGGATGAATAAATATGACATTTGTGGTGAGGAAGGATAGAGTTTAATTTGTATGTACGATAATAGTGTGAAAGATGAGTAATATCAGACATGGTAGCTTGGATAGATAGCTCAAGTCATATGGATAGTGAGGCTGTCTTTTCTATTGACAACAGTAGGATTAGGCATTATATGGAAAGTTTCAGCTATTCTGCTTTCTTTGTAGTTGAAAAGCCTTTTTATATGATTTTCGTGTTTTTGATTTCGATTTGATGGTTGTTGAAAATGGCGTAAACTGCTGTTGCTGATTTAATTTGAAGTCTATCCAGTTCTACGGGATTATTAGGTGGTTTCTGTGTATATACTAAGATTCTTTTCGGCTCGAGTCGAGATTTCATGAGATGACTCTTCAATGTAGAAGGCATCACAATCAACACATCCTAATTTCTAGACACAGTTATTTATTAACGTAAAAGTGATTCTTTTCTTTTGGAGAAAACTAAAGTATTTTGAAGGGTGTTTGTTGTTTTGTGATATGCTTTAATTCTGTGTAGTTTTAAAATCCTTCATTTTTAGTAATGAAATTATTAAGTTTACAATAACTACTAGATCATGTCGTTACTTCTTTCCTCCTTTCAATCTATTCATCGTTTGTGATATGTATTATTTAGGTTTGGATGTGTGGTGGTAGTTTAGAAACTGTCGTGTGCAGTGTTGTTGGACATATTTTTCGTAGTCGTTCACCATACAAATGGAATATTAATGTAAAAGATCCTTTGAAAAGAAATCTACTCCGTTTGGCTGATGTATGGCTTGATGATTATAAACGATTTTATCATGCTCGTATTGGATTTAACACTGTAAGTTTGCTATACTTAAATTGTATTTGCTTTTTATTGAATGTATATAACTTACTAAATTCAGGGATATATTGCTTGTAAAATAAGTTCAGATTACCCTAATAAGCTTCACAAATCATTCCTATCTAAACTCGTTAGCTATATAAACAACATTCCGTTATGTGATACTTTCATTTTACCACCTTTTTGTTATAGTAAAAATAACGTGTTGGATAAATCTTCAGATAGAGGAAGAAAACCTTTGTTCTGAATTCCTGTATGTTTCCTTTCACAGACAACATTGACAATTATCCAAAAAATATCTTTCTCCTCATGTTGATATCAGTTATAATGTGCTTTGAATTTATAATAATCTGTATAGTTATTTTCATTCACACTTAGGAATAAATGATGATTGCATCTTAACAATAACATTGACACTTGGGTTGATTTGATGACTTGAAAATGGTAATGATAAGTAGGTTAACCGAACCACCTAAAACTGAACATAATCTTTTTCTTCTTATCGTGTAAGTGTTTGAATCATTTCATTGTTGATAATAACGGATGAATTTTGGATGTTCTTTGTTGACATTTGTACATCCTGTGTGGATTATTGCCTTAACTATTGAAAAGCGCTCTCTGGATCCGATTTCTAATCAAATCCCATATTTTCTAAATAGCAATGGTTATTTGCTGAAATTATTCAACAGGCTCTATCATTATGTCTTCTTCGGCGTGTGCATAAATTTTTAAACTAAAATACTTTCGTGAGAAGAGATAGATGGTGGTTAGGTATGGAATCTAGGACACGTGTTTCGTCCTATTTTAGGACTCATCAGCTGGATGAACCTGCATCTCAGTGTTGATGTTAACTACGGGACTCAAATATGGTACCGTTCGCTTCAAACACTGCTATTTTATTGGTTGTTTGAATCTTCGCATTGATGTTTAAGACTGCAATTGATCAGTCTCTTATTGGCATATGTGCATCCTATGCGGTTGCCTCATCATTGCCAGAATTTGCAAGCATTATAAGCCGAGAGGTGAAAACGAATTTTTACTTCTCATTTCAAAACTAATGCAGCTTAATTTTGGAATTTTTATAATAGAGTAATTATTTTTTAAGGTTATTTTTCGGTATTTTTGATCTGGTCAAGAATGTCCAAAAGTAGTCGAGAATCAAAATTTGAGCATTCATTTTAGAGTACATGTTGGATTCATAAATATTTTCATGCTCTTTTTTTAAGGTAAAATACAGTAATTTTCAGGAGACGCAATTAACTTTTAGCGATTAATCGCGTAATAAATGATTTTCTCCTTTCTGTATTTACTCTGATTTAGATTGATTTTGGCGATGTTTCAGAACGCAAAGCCTTACGAGAAAAACTGAAATGTCACTCATTTGATTGGTATTTAACCAATGTTTATCCTGAATTATTTGTTCCTTCGAAAGCTTTGGCTTCTGGTGATGTAGGTTTTTTTTGTCGTACATTTTCTGTTTTCTACGGAATTCAGTGTTTAAACATGAACTATTCCCCAAGTTGTGTTTGCAATTTGTTGTTTTTTTTACAACTGATCAGTCACTGAGTAGTTATTAATGTCATTTATGCCGCGTCCTTCTTGGTGTTAATCGAATTATATTGATCACGTTATCACTAGTCAGGTTAAATCGACGTCATTTTTGCCATGATGGGACGTTAGATGGTTGAACATCAAAAGTATACCTGGACCAAGGATTTGTGCTAGTTGGCAATGCTCGTGTAGGCGTACATGTTATCTAGAGGTAACGGACACTTGCTCATTGGGCTTGATAGTTTGAGACGTTGTTTCGTATGTATGGATAAAATGAGTATTTTGACCAGAATAGATGACAGATCTTAATTATCAAGATTTTGCGTTTTATAGTACGATTACAGGGAAGTTAGTGAAAATTCATGTTTTCAGAGATGACGTGATGCTAGTCAAAATGAGTAATTACGGTTACTTGCAACGATCTTTTATTTGGCTATAAACGATTATTAGTCTATTATCCTATATAATTATACTGATTATAGCTTAATTTATCTCTATTGTACTAATATGATCTTGTCTATGTATAAAATTTTCTTAAAATTTATTGAACTAACATTGATTTCATCATTCACAAGTCAGTGATTTCAATGAAATCTATCTGGTAGATGGTTTATTATTTCAACAAACGTTTGCATCCATGTTTTTCATATTTGAACTACATTTTCTTTTCTGTGTTACACTTATCCGTATAAGAAATTTCTCGTATTTCTTGCGGTCTACAAATTCTGAAGCTTTGTCAAGTCACTACTCCGTTTCTTATTGTTAAAAATGTCTTCTGTTACCTTTGTTTATCTATTTCAATCCATCATCCATGAATAATTTCCCTTAACCATAATATCCGACATTCCCAGTGATATATTCTGTCATATTTATTGGTGACCTTGTAAGAACTGGAAAATAAACTCCTTTGGAAATGTCATTATTAGCCTTAAATACTATATTGAAATGATATTTCAACATGGAAACTTGTACCTTTTGTTTTAGGCAAATAGTAAACATAGTATGAACGTTGAAAAGCAGAATGTGAATAAAACTGAGAAATTATTTTGATAGATAATACTTTTGATATGATGATCCAGCTGTTACTATAGTGATCGCAGCGGATGCGTCAAATTATGGAATTGGAGCAGTGATTTCACATATCTAATCCAATGAATCTGAGAAAGCCATATCAAGTGCAGCTAGATCGTTAATTACAGCAGAACGTAGCTACAGTCAGATCAAGAAGAATACATTGACATTTTTCTTTGCTATGAAGAAGTTTCACGAGATGATATTTGGATGTCAGTTTACGATATTAACTTACCATAAATCATTGCTGGCCACATTCGGGTCGAAAAAAAGATTCCGGTGTATACAGCGACAGACTGTAACGATTTAGAAGTACATTCTTGGGTTACAACTACAAGATTAAGTACCATCACACTACTTATTTTGGACAAGCCGATGCCTTGTATAGACTGTTTGGTTCACAAGTGAAACGTGAAGAAAAATATTCTTGTGTTGTTCCGTTGTACTATTTAAACATGGAATTATTTTGGTTTGGTTATTTATTCTCTGAAGAAATGGCCCACACTGAGTCACGAAACGTCAAAAAATTTAATTTTCCTACTCATTGGGAAGACGCTGTCGATGGTCTACCAGTTACTTTCAAAGCTATCAAAGAAGCTATGGAAAATAAAAATATATTAGGAGAAGTTAAGTGTTGTCTTCTCACCAAATGGCCGAACCGTCGTTTTGAAGGAGAACTGCTGCAATATTTTCTCGGACGGAACTCACTCAAGATTGGTGATTCATGTATTATGTTCGGCGGCAAAATTATTTTTACGAAAAACATTACGCCACAAGGTTTTGAGACCATTCCACATTTGCCATCGCGGCATCTATAATACGAAGTCGTTCGCTCGAAGCTATGCTTACTGGCCTACAATGGATCGAGATATCGAAACTAGGTGCCTCAATTGTTCATTGTGTTTGCAAGCAGCCAAAAGCCTTAGGTCGAGTGGGCCACAACAAAGGAAAAAGCCTAATAGTCCCTGAGAGAGTCTCCACTCAGATATTGCAGGCCCACCACGAGGAAAAGTGTTTTTAGTCATGGCTGATGCACTCACAAAATGGCCAGAAATCTGCTATGACAAATTGCATAACTAGTGAAACAATCAGCAAGTTACTGGATTGTAGAAACTTTCTTGAAACCTACATCTCATAAAATCTGAAGGTTTATTTAATGAGATGGTGATTAAAATACGTATACTTCAGCGAAAATAAATAGTGTTTCTCTTTGAAATCACCTTGTTTAAGTTTTACATTCTTATTCTTGACAACAAGCCTCGTTGAATTTCTTTTGGATAACTGTCTTCCTGGAACTAATATTGGACGTTGCAAAACCCCTTGTTATGAGTGAACATATTTTTTAAAAATGTGTATTGATGCGTCACTGATGGACTTGGATAAAGGTTGTATTAGATCGCGAATAAAGAGAGCGAAACGAAATGACGCTCAGCGGAGAAAGCGTGTGAACCAACTTCATTTAATCAAGCGCTAATCAGTATTTATAGCCAGATATAAACAAGTTACAGATATGTGATGAAAAGAATAAGAAGTGTACTTACATATACTCTCATATAAAAACAGTCAAGGTTGATAAGTGAATAATTACCAAGGTCAAAACGTAACTCAAGAAGAATGGATAAAGTTAGAATAAGAGAATTGGGCTTAACATAGCAACCTACACTACAACAGTTTAGTACACGAAAAATGTATGACTTGGTTTTGTTACTGTGGTAACAGTTCCAAAACACATCAAGTTCGGAACCTGGAAATGTTATGTGAGATTATTTTTGAGTTGAGGATATAATAAGCTATATTAAGGAAAAACTTCAACATAGATTATGAGCAACTTCTAATTACCTGCTGCTGTATTTTTATTTTCACCATATTTCACAATACTTCCGAACAAAATATAATATAAAATGAGACCTGTAAGCACATCAATAAATCCGATGGTTAATAACCTTAGTTATCACCAATTTCTTCTAGGCAGTCTGATTTTTGTTACCAGTAGTAAATTAACCTGAAATCACCATTTTAAAGAAGATCCATATCTGATTAGATTATAAATCCAACGAACATTGTAGTCTTTATCACGTACAAAAACTGCCACTGAATACTTTTACACAGCAAAATTTACTTTCATGGTCTGCTGCTTCTTCCGTGATTGCTCACTTCAGTTTATTGCACTTTTATGTTCAGTTAAAACGTCGAACCTGCGTTGTTCATTGATAACACGTCTGCTTCTAAATTAACATATGCTTCACTTCAGTTAAAATGTTTAAAATGACTATTTATGTTGGTAGTGAATTGATGTAACGTGTGTTCGTAATTGGACGCAATCAATCATTTTCATTCGAAGTTTCAGATTTGTTTGTTTCAAACGAAGTATTTTTTGAGAGAAATCATGCTTACATTTGATGGTTTGTCAGTCATTTATAATTCTGTCTTTCTGATTTTCGTCATTCGATCAATCAGTTTCATCAGTCACATTCTTCCAAACTGTTTTATGTCCTCTGTTCATTCCGACATGTGAAACTGTGTTCAAATTCTCTCAACTTTCATTTTGGTAATATAAGTCTTTGTGAAGTGAGATGTTTTGCAGTAACCATATATGAATTTTTATTTTTGAAAACAAATAGAAAGGACAAATTGGCGACATTAAACTATTCATGTCAGAGATTAGTTGAAGAGTAGATGTTCTGGTTCAATGGTTCGACTACTTCACTCTCAATCCTTAGTACAGGTGTTGACGCAGGTCAGTCTTGAGGCAAGAGTTTGCATTTAGAGTGGGAAAAACACATCCCAAACACCCTGAAATTGTTGCTCAGTGCTACCAAAAGACTGCCTTTTATGAGCAACTTCAACAAGCAGGACTATATGATCTGTGTATTCTCAATCGATAAAGTGGACCTCGTGGAAGGAGATCAATGACCGAAAATACAGTCGACGAGCAAGTTATTCCCAGCAGTAGGTCTATGATGACAATTTGAAAGCCTTTAGAAAGTAGAATCGTGCAGTATAGGAGACTATTCAATACCTGGGATATCAAATCATTTCGTCCTACCGAATACAAATAAATAACGTAACAAGCAATTATTTCATACGTTTAGCAGTCTTCTTTTATGGCGTGACGTTACTTGAACAAATATTGAATAAATCTATATGAGATGGTGGAGAATATCTGTAACTCAAGTGGATGATTTCGAAGTTTTGTTCTCTGAGATGGATCATCGTTCTTCTGATCGAAATCATCAGTACCTGAAGTTTGTGCTGATGATGTCGTTCAGAAGAACGATGAACGCTCCACGACCAAACCATCCAGCTCAGAGAACAAAGTTCCATCAAAATAAATCTATATTGATAAAGGTCTATTCTTTGGTAATTTTTACCTTGTTTAACAAATATATATATAGAGAGAGTACTTGATGATTAGTTGATTCATCGATATTTCTAACATTGTAGATTGAAAGTGCTTCTGGTCCACACTGTTTGGATTCACCAACTCCTCGTAGTGGAGATAAACAAACTATTATCAAAATATGGCCATGTCATAAACAAGGTGGCAATCAAGTCAGTTAATCGATTGATTATTGGTAGCTATGTTGAATAATGAAATAGGAATGACATAAATGCCAATAATAGTTTACAGTACAACATAGAGTACTGTGAATAATTTTCTCTTAATAAATTATTACACTTGATGTATCTTAATGGGAAGCGTTTTTAGATATTTTTGACTAATTACTGATGAATCGCAATTTGTGAAATTTTTACATTAGAATCTAATTAATGTTCAATAAACTTTAATGCATAACTAATCATTTTGGAAGTATAGATGCAGTCAGTGTATCGTTAATTCTGAATAAGATGTGTCAATTACATATAAGGCTCTGTGAAAAGCTTTGGATAAAGGTGACATTATTGATCGACGAACTTGTAAACTTTTTGATAGTTATAACATATACCCAAGCTACTGAGGTCAGTGTTTCAAGATGGTGTTATCAAATAAGTTATTGGTTCTTTCAAACCTCAGAGTTACTAACATGGCGTTCCTAATGAACATCATTCATCGTTTGGAGACAACTATGGTCGAGCTTAGAGTGAGTGAACATCCTTAACTCTAAGGGGCCAGGTTTTACAGGCATAGAGTAGAACTACTGTCCTCGATACGTTATAAAGCCAATCTTGTGCAGAAAATCTAACATGATGTCAGCGTCAGAGGCCCCCCAGCTTATAATATGCCTCTTCGACCTTCACTATACGTAAATTGATCTCATCACTCAGTCCACCGCCAGCATTCACACAGCTACTTAGATGCATTAACTTCTCAACTACTACTACTGGTTCATCACGTACAATGGGTGCCAACAAATGCTGCTCTCAGTTTGAATAGGTTGGTTATGAATACGGTGGTCTTGAGTGCTATCAGAGGTATGAGGGCGGTTATCACTTCCCGGTTGCCCACACCGTGGAAGGGTTCTTCTGCAGGTACCTGAAAAGGAAATCGGGTAAGAGGTGGTCTTAGTGACCTGAGAGCTTGACCGCAGTGCCTAAGGGACAATTGCTTGAGATCGGTCACACACGACCTTTTTATGAGTAATTTTTGTGTCAGTTCCGTACTTGTTGAGACCTTACCGCCGGAGACGGATATCCGAGGGATAAGGTGAGGTGTGCATTTTTAAGGTCGACCTTTTCTGAACCCACCCCTCCTTGTTGTAAGGCAGCATCGCTGTGATTCTGTTTGTCTGAAGGAAACACCTTACTGCTATCACACCTCTGTACAGTCAGCAGTACGACTTTGCCTTCGGACCTTGGGTTTGTTGCTTTTAGTCTTACCGCTCTTCAACCGACCTGTCTGACATGGTAGGACCTTAAGGAACGGTTGTTCCAGCCAGTATAGCTCGTTGCTTCATCACGATAGGCAAGCCCGACCACCACGTCAAAGTAGCAACAACGGTCGGGACTGCTCTCAGTTTAGAATATTGGACTTAGGACGAGGAAAGTACATGGTGTAGCCGTGGACACTTATTGTTAACTAATTTATTCCAGATTGAATAGATTGGTTATATCATGCGCATACTCAAGACCAAATAATTTTTCTGAAGTTAAATGGTCTACATCACTGCTACTTACTTCCATTAAACCTGGTTTCCAGAATGTCATAACTAATATGCTCAGATAGAAAAATTATTAAAGTTTTGTATTTGAAAAAGCCTTAATTGAGAAAGTGAATAAGTAAACAAGCATTCTATCCTTTGAATCTTAATTCGTTTTCTTATTTGTATGTTTTCTCTCTAGTTTTGGTTATTATCACCTAACAATGAAATTCGACGTGATGATTTTTGTTTTGATTCTGGTACGAAAAACAATACCGTTGGTTTATATCGTTGTCATGGTGCACAGGGTAATCAAAAGTTTACTTATGACGAAGTACGTCTTCTAATTTGTAGTAAAAATTATTTTCATCTGCAAAATCGTCATATTATTTAATATAGAAAATTTGACTGGAGAAGAATATGTTTAATTGTTTCGTTTAAACTCAGTTGGCCCTAGCAATTGATGATACCTGCTTACCATGAACAATTAATAGGTCATATTATGCCGTTTTCAACTAATAAGAATAGCCATAAAATAGTTTTTGTAACTTGTGGCCTTGTCCTCTATTAATATATGACGTAATGATACCGCCTATTATAGAACAGTGATTTATCGATCGGACCAATAACGCGTAAAGCCGTATGAGTAGTCTAGAGTCCTTATCGGTCCTTCTTCCTGCCTAGCCCTGCTTGTTAAGTCCAAAACACCAATCTCAGCCTCTGTGATATAAATTTTTTTCTCAAAAGTACTTGTTTTGTATACAAACAAAACAGAGCATATCGTACCATAAAGTGGAAAACAACATTTGTACAAGATGAAGCCAAAAGTATCTGTGAATGTGGGAGACTGTAATTAATGTACTTGGCATAACTCGTATAATGATAGTCTATTTGTCAAAATAAAACTTATAATTTCAGCAACATGAATACGCATAGTTTAGTTACATAACAATTATACAGTAGAAATATATGTATCGCATTGGTCGATAAATAGTTCTTAAAAGTTACCATTCATAATTCTCGTCGGGATATAACTATAACCTACTTACATGACCATTACAAGTTCCTCATGGCTGAATGTTTCTAACCACCATTTGCGAGATTCCAGGTGCAGACAACAATCAGCAGTACTTTCTATTGCTAAGCGTACGCGCGTGAGACCGAATGTTTTGGGTTTGAGTCCCATGTGTGGATCGTAGATGTGCACTGCTAATGAGTCCCATACTAGGACGAAACGCCTGTCTAGTGCTTCGAAGTTTTCACCAGTAGTCTACCTTATATAGACTCATGGATTCAATTATTTTATTCATTCAATTTCTGTGGATCACTGACTTGAATCAATTGATCGGTCTGTATGTGACTGTTGCGTCAAATAGTATCAGTTTATTCTTGTCTATCAATATGATTTGGTGATGAGTACCAGAAAATTCGAATCTTTAACATGTTGCGTTAATATATTAAACTTGTGAATTGAGCTCTGAAGCTTACAGTTATCGTTTGATCTAAAGTAAAGAGTAGACAACATAGTATGCTGTATGCAACTTATGTTGACAGTTATAAGTAGTATGTAACGCCGACCAGAAGTGGAATGCCTGTCAAAAGAAGGTTGAGAAGATTGAACTGAATAAAGCAGAAAGGTAAACATAAAGGGGTTATGAATTGGAAGAATTATGAAGGATGTAGAGGACAATTGATGGAATGATGTGCAGATGCAGTACTTAATGTATTGTTTTCACATTTTAGGAAGACATTCTGTAATTTTATATTTAACAATGAATTAGTTGTCCCCAACTAAATTCTTGTTCACTACAATAGTATGCTACATATTTTCTAGTAATGTTGTTTTTTTTAAAAAACTGTCCACTGCAAATGTTCAATTACTGTTGAATTCTAATTGAAAATAAGGTAAATCCAACAGTTTGTTTAATCAAACTGAAATTTTTCCTAAACTATTTTCTAATTTACAGGACAATGCTATTCGTCATGAAGGACAATGTTTAGAGATCAATATTGAAAAATCCAGTGTTCAACTTACCTCATGTACTGGATCATTAAAGCAACAATGGAAATTTAATCGCAAACCGTATATGCCAACCGCTATAGATTTTAATCGATTTTAATATTGACTGAACACATTGGAATAATTACCAATCTATTATTTCATGTTCAACTACTTCATGTATATATATATATATATCTATTAACATGTATTTGTACTAATATGAGAAAACAACAATGTCTTTCCTTAGATGTACAATCTGTTTAAAGAAATGTTTTGTGAATAGAATGGAAAGTACACAAATATTGTATTATGCTACCAATTTTTTAGTTGTTCTTTTTTTTGTGTGTGTGGTTTCAACATCCAATGTGTAAATTGGTTAAGCCTAGTGATAACATATCATCATTCTCATTTTTACAATTTTGTTTATCTGTGATAACACTTACGTAATATTTATATAAATTTGTGAACAGTTGCAATCAATAAAATAAACAAACAAACAGACAAGATAGATAACTAGTATGAGTTCAATTTTTTTTTTTATATATTCACTAATGTGCCTTTCTCATGGTGTTTGGTTATTTCTCATTAATAAAATTAATAATATGTCATGGAATGTATGAATAAATGATGCTCAATATTTTGTTTACTTATTATCTACCCCTCAACTTTATGGTTGTTATTCTATAGAATGATGGTTTGTTTTCAAAGTGTATTTTAGTCTATTTTTTCATTACAAAACTCTTTTGTTTTGCTTCACAACATGTTTCCCATCCTTTGAATTATGGGGCTGTTGCACAATCATCTTTTTCGTTCATTTCAGATATATATATATATATATATATATATATATGGAGAAATGGTTGTATTACCCTTGTTGTTGTTTTATGTATCAAATTAATTTATTTCATTTTATTCTTTATCCATTAAAACAAACTGTATGTAAGTGCCTATTGAGAATTGAGACGTGAATTTCTCTTGATGATAATTATTATTATTTTGAGCTATTTTATAAACTTCTGTAGAGTAACAAATATCGTTATGAAACAATGTGACCATGATCTTAAGTTTTTTTTTACATATTTCGTTTTCTCTAGAATTAAATATTTTATAACTGACTTTTCTCAAAACTTTTTCAATTGAACAAAGTTCATTCGATGGTTTAACGTAATTACATGATTGTTAGATTGGGTTTTTGCTTTATACTAATGATTCAGTCTTCTCACACTGTTCACAGTTATACTTCAAATTGATGTCTGCAGATGCCCTGGTACGGCCGAGGGTGAGGAGAGTTAGCTTTCCCTGTCGAAATGCTCTCATATAGCCGTGCGACAACAGCCACTGCCAGGGAAGACCTGCTCACTGCCTTCTCGCGGCGTGCGTGTTGCTTACGAAATTGAGAGGATGAAATGTGGATGTCCAGCACTTTAACCGGATTGGTGTATATGTAGAATCCATCTAGGTGAGTTGGAAAATCCTGGTTCCAAACCAATGGTGCACATGGGTTCTAGGATCCTGAAGGAACAAATGGCGTATGAACCACTTATTAGTCACCGCCCACCATGAGGCTGCATTTTCTTACGTTGCTCCACTGCCTTGTGGATCAGACCTTTGGGTCGCAGGCTCCAGGCGTGCCCCCCTAAGAAAACTACCTGCTTTGGTCTGATCATTCGGACAGTATTACAGCCCTCACACAAATCAAGTGACTTGTGTGGTGCATATGTATTCGGTGCCCCGTTGTACCAGTATTTATGTGTTCAAATAAATAAATAATATATAAATCTATTAAAACAATACCCATTCACCTTAACTTACAGAGATTAACCATAAAGTTGTAACCGATATTATATTTATTTGGTTTCTAGTGCTGATCGAATCCTACCGATCAGGTTTCAATGTGGCCATTAGTCTAGGTAACTCAACGTCATATGCTCTATGTTCGATGCTAACTGGTTGAAGGTGGTCTTCAAAAAACATTAAGTCTTAACAGCTCAATTATCACACTCATAAAATGACGAAAAATTAACGTGTTGACAACTAAATGGAATAGAGAATCTGTTGAATATACGCTTTTTATGTGTACCACTTCCACAGTAGCTTCCATTGTACTGATCTGCACAAAGCTAATGTCAAACGACTGACTAAATGACGAACGTATGCTGAAGATATATCCACAAACGTATAATTACCTGGTAAACTCTATCATAGTTTCGTAAAGAAAAGTCGGTTGACAATTCACACTTGCCGAATAATAAACAGCCAGTATGACCATTATTTGGCAACAATAACAAGATTTTCCTACAAGCACATTATGCTAGCTTTAAGTAATTTGTTTCAATAGTTGTAAATGAGAAGCCTTTAATAAAGTGATATTTGTCAATGTTTTGTTCAAAATATGCGCTATTTTATTTGTTGATATTAGCTTTATTAAATATTATATTTTTGATAAAATAAAGAATTATCAGCACAAAATGTTTCAACAAGTTTGCAGTTCTGACTTCTCGGTCGATCTTGTCGATAAATATTGAGTAATCTCCAGTTAGATGTTAGCAGTTCAGTAAATGAACATCTGAATAATGTACTTTTTTTCGCTGCATATTGCCAACGACCACAATATCTCTGTTTTGGCCTTTGTAACATGTACAACGAAAGGTTGTACACTTTTCAGAAACGCACCTGAATAGGTTATGCGATTATTAGACATAATTATGTATTAAAACAAACAAAATAGATAACTTGTTGAAATATCTAGATGGTAGAAACAGATAGCCCAGATGTTCAAGCAGGCCGCCAACTTTGCAGGGCTTGAAAGGATGAATTTTTCAACATTTTATGCTCTCGGAAATTTAGTGAAACTGACATTATTATTCTATAGCATTAAACCAATTCTCACAAATAATGAAATGTTAGACTAATTCAACTCTTTATGATCACTAGTAACCAGTATTGATGTATGAATAGTGGATTTTGCAGCCGGCAGTTGATGCAACTCAATCTGTTTGTTTCGACTTTTTTTTATTCTGACTCTAAATGATTATATCTTCTGTTAGAGTGTCCTTATTTATCATACACTCTGTACTAAACATTCATATGTCTGTTACTTCTAGTGTGAGTATGCCGGAATTAGGAACGTGTTGTTGTCATCTTCCCATTACTCTGTTACATTTCTCTAGACTTTATCGGTTCTATCTAGACAGTTTGTGTATGTAGTGGCTGTTTAATTGAAGCTCATTCTGCTGTTGATTGCGGACGATGATTACTTTATAATAAAAAAAACTTTTCGCTACTCATTTAGGTATAAGGAAGAAAACAGCAATTTGTTAAGTCATCACTTTGATTTAGTTTTATCTCAGTTATTCATAGTTTAAAAAATTTCCGAAATGTGCTTTAATTTATTATTATAGGGATCTTTGATTGGCGGCGGTACCAATTAAAGTAAAAGCATGCTATTTTAGCATATTTGAAATTAACAGCTTTTTTTCAATATGATCGTCAATATTTTTTTAAGTCCCAAAGACTACAAAAAACTACTGAAGTACATGATTGCGATGCAACCGCATACTTATAGGGGAATGCACAAGGATATTAACCAAGGGGACGTCATTTGTTGACTGTTAAGTAAATAAATACTCAGTATAAAAGGAAAGCTAATCGAAAAAATCCGTAAAGTGGATTTTGAGAAAGTGATGTGTGTAATCCATTTTGATACATCTACTTAGTTTCTGAATTTGTCCTTTTCAGTGCAGCATGTTATCTAGACTTGTTCCTGTGAACTGTTTCATCACATTTTGAAGATGGATCTTAGAAACGCCAAGCATTTTACGAGTGTTGTAATCTAGGAAAATATATCGACGTCCGATTACATATCGCCAGCTTGTTAAATAAGATTATCTATTAAGTAAATTCATGTTGCAATGTAACCTGAATTATCTTACGAAAAAAATGTTTCAGACGTCGGGTAAGTCAACACAATAAGATGTTAACTCAAAAATATTGGAAAGTTACCGGCTAATGCCTTTCATTAATGTAACATGTGTGAGTAATATACCACATAACCAATTTTTGTATTAGACAACTTAAAACAGTCTTATGTTACATATCTATTCCCTACAATTAATATTACTATCTGTATCAAACGGATCATATCTGTAAACTGGCATAAATTCTGTAATTATTATCTTCAAAATATGTTATTATTACAAACCAATCAGTCGTTTTCCCATTGTAATCTTTGGCTAAAAGAGAGAGAGACAGGAGGGAGGAAACGAGGTGACCGAATCATATCCTATTGTTTCGTGATACAATTAATTGAACACTGAATAGTTGAGTTCATATTAAAAGTAGAGTAAAATTAGCTATTCATGATAAAGTCAAATCATAATTTAACAGAATTATAAATATAAAATATAAAGAAATAAGTTGTGTATTGTTTGTTTATTAAATTTGTTATATGTATCTTTGACAATGTAACTGTTGTATAATATGAAAGACTGATCATCAGAATAGAGGGACATATATTATTTAGCAAATTAACAAAATAATATCTGATGAATGACATTACTAGTACACATATACATGTTAAATTGAACTGTAAACAATATAAAAATTTGGTAGTAACATGATTCTCCAATACAACACAGCATGCACCAATCCAATCACAATTGACCGAGAAGATTTGGAAGATGTAAAAAACTTTACATATTTGGGCAGTATCATTGATGAACACGGTGAATCTGATGCAGATGTGAAGGCACGAATCGGCAAAGCAAGTGCAGCATATTTACAACTGAAGAACATCTGGAGCCCAAAACAACTGTCAACCAACACCAAGGTCAGGATTTTCAATACAAATGTCAACACAGTTCTACTGTATGGGGCAGAAACCTGGAGAACTACGAAAGCCATCATCCAGAAAATACAGGTGTTTATTAACAATTGTCTACGCAAAATACTTCAGATCCATTGGCCGGACACTATTAGCAACAACCTACTGTGGGAGAGAACAAACCAGATTCCAGCGGAGGAAGAAATCAGGAAGAAGCGCTGGAAGTGGATCGAAGACACATTGAGGAAATCGCCCAAGTGCATCCCAAAGCAAGCCCCCACATGGGATCCAGAAAGCCAAAGGAGAAGAGGAAGACCAAAGAACACATTACGTCGAGAAAAGGAGACAGACATGAGAAGAATGAACAAAAATTGAATAGAACTGGAAAGGAAGGAATAGTGGGACAGAGTGGGTTGGAGAATGCTGGTCGGCGGCCTATACTCCATTGGGAGTAACAGGCGTAAGTAAAAGTAAGTAAAAATCATTTGTTTTAAAATATCACAGCTGTACATTTTTATCCACAGATAGTAGATATAGTTTACTGTTGAACAACCATTGTTGTTCTAGCAATCTAGTACATTCAGAAAGTTGAACTTTAGAATTTTCATCATCAATTTCTAGACATTCACCTCGATGATGAATACTACCATCCTGTAATGATAGGCAATCGATCAGTGTATTTTGCAACAGTTAAACTATAGAAAACTATTCAATTAAAAGAGAAATATTAGGAAATACTGATATAAATAGTAACAGGAAACAAAAAACTTTTTCATAATAAGCAAATTATATTCATAAATCATAAAGCTACTAATTGGAAAATTCTGAAAAAATAATTCTCAACAAATTAATTAATCAGAAAACAGTAATAAGCACCGTTATCCTGTTCATATTTTCCTACAAATCAAATCCATCAATTCACCTTTCACAGTGATCATTCAAGCTAACTGAATCGATATATTATCTTAATTCCCATCCTATCCATATTAAATCGTATCT